AGAGAGATATATCTCCACTCCTTAGTTTTATTTTTAGTTAACATATTGACGTTTTTTACAAACTAATGCAACAAGCTATTGAGTGTTAGAAAAAAAGGATATTAAAAACAACAACAACAACAACAAAACCAACATGTTTCTTTTTCCCCAAAATCGGAGGTAGAACTGTATACTTCAATAACTCTATCTCAGTTGCCTTAAAGCTGCACGCCTCCAGATGAGCAAAATAAAATCAAACCTGAGAAAAATGTACTAAGATTTTAGTAAAGGTAAACAAATTCAAAATTCTAGTTATAATTTACATGTTATTAGCGGTTAATGACCGATTTTTCAGTATTTATGACTATATTTCTACTGCGTTACTAACGCAGTAAGGTCTATTTTTCCATATTTTGACCTTTTATAGCTATTTACATGGGTTCTAAGTGCCATTGATAATGTGTAAATTGCATTCTTTTGGTAACTTTACATTATTATACTATTCAATATATTTTCACATTTTCATGAAAATAAGCACGAATCTGGAGACGTGCTGCTAACCAAGTCCTTATTATTCCTGACTTTTCACTAGGAAGTTAAAACGGACGCAAACCTAAGTATGCTTTCATGACATTTTAAATGTATCCTGTATGGAGTAATGATTGAATAAATTTGATTTGATTTAATTTTAATAAAAACCGGGAATATTTTGATAATTTGGATGTAGTTATGGAGTTAAACAATCATTACGGGGATTCAGACACAGCAAAAGAAATTTATACTGAGCTTGCGTCGGGAAATAATAGGACTGAGCAAGGCAGAATTTACGATACTCTTCGACATGGTACAGGGGAGCTTGCAGATAATACTACATCTTCAGCCAAGAAGTGTACACCACTTTTGTTATGGTGTACCCTCGTTAATTCAATTTTAATTGGACTGTTGATTATCGCAGTATCTGTTTCTTTATACATGAGTACAAACGTTTCAAAGGCTTCAAATAGTAATGGTCAGTACTAAAGATTTTCTTTATCGAACTTATCGAAGTCTGTTGGATGATAACAGATATATTAAACAAATAAGAATTTAATCTTTACTTTTGTTCTTTAGCTTTATTCTTCGGCACCTGGCCTGAATTGCAATGGATATAGCTCCCAAGAGGGGGCGGGGGGGGGTGGTTGCATATATCACGATGCTCTATTTTGACGGATAAAGCGCCCCATACATCTGATGATTTAAAATGGGACATGCTTTCTTGTAACATATATTAAAAATTATTAATTGAGCAATATCAACATTGTACTTTTATCATAGGTCAATCATCGTCATTATCATTATGATCGTCATCATCATCATCATCGTCATCATCATCATCGTCATTATCATCGTCATTATCATCATCATCATGTCGAAATTGTTAAAACATTCCTGCCGTCATATTCATACGTTATATGTTTTTTATAAAAACTTAAAGGCCCACTATGCCTCAGAAACGCTTTCAATTTTATTTTACAAAAACTTTTTTTTTTGTAACCTATCACAGTTTGTTTTTAAAAAAAATCTTAATAGCCATATTCATAAAGTCGTACCTGCAACTTTTGCTCCTTTGGCAATTTGTAGAATTAGTATTTTGTATGGAAGTCAAATTACTACTTTCATACATTTTGCTACCTTTGTAACGACATTGGTAGAACGTCATAATACCGATAATGAGCATAATATTAGGCAAAAACTAAAGTTGGTAAATTTACATTAGGGAACGATTTCAATATATAAGGACACAAACCACTCTTGGTGGTGAGCTAGGTTTTAACAGACAGGGTTATGTGCCTTTAACCGTTAAATTTGGTGGTAGCGGTGGGATGATGTAGACAACTTCCGGACTGGAGTTGCCGTACCAAATGATTTCCCATGCCAAGTCTCGGCGTAGGGGAAAATATGTTACTACGTTTGTAGAACGTCATAATACTGATAATTAGCTTTAAAAAGAAACATGCAGCTGTTGAAGATTTGTTAAATTTTTTTTCAAAAGTAAGAACTTCTGATTGGTCGATCTGCGAACAATAGAAACATATCGGCTATTTCCGTCATTCTCCGGGTAAGCTCAAATAAGAATAATAGGCGAAGTGTTCCGAAGTTAAATATAAATTGATACATTATTTTGAAATATTGTAAACTAGCTTTCTCATGTATTTCTGTTAACTCATCTAGAGATTTATCACTAATGTACAATTTGTGATAAAAAGCTTAGATTAAATAATTTTGGAACCAGAACAGGTTTACTACATTGATGTTTGATTACTTTTGTAAAACGTTTACTCTTTAGGAGAGGATATGCAGAAACTGGTGACAACTCTAAGCCAAAAAATTGAGAAGCTTGAACACGCACAGGGACAGACTCAGACAGAAACGCTCCAAAATACGAACATATTAAATGAAACAAGTAAGTAACCTGCTCTTTATATGTATCAATTAAATGCCGTTTCTTGTTTATAAAACATTTCTACAACAATTAAATTCTCGGCCGTTAGGCCGCTAGGGCGCCAACTTCACACCGGTAGGTTGCTGGGCCGCAAGTAAGACATTTAGACCCCTTGACTTCTCGATCCCTTACGGTATTTAGATGACTTCTAGACCCCTTGACGCTTAGACCCCTTTTTACATGACATTCGACCCCTAGTGGATAAGACATTTCGACCCCAATCTCAATTTTTGTACTTTAGAATCACAGATACTGTACTTTGAGAAATAATGCAAAGCAAATAGCAAATATTTTAATTATTTTCATAAAAGTGTCCGATAAAATATTGAGAACTTAAGGAAAAGCAATAATTTAACATGGCTTTTTATTCGTTCAATGTTTTGTAGGATAGCTACATAGCAGTTATAATATATAATTTTTGTTAAAAAATTGGGCATGATATATCAAATTAGACCCCAGACTTAAAGTGAAGGAATTATGATAATGATAATAATGAAAATGCGTGATTTGTGCATTGCGTATTTATTCATACCTACAATTTCTTCAAGTTTGTAAAGATTTAGTTTATTTTTCTGTGACAAACATTGGTGATGAATTATTTTACATGTCTACTTAATTTTATGTTATATATTGAATTGACATGTCAAAGTTGCGATGATCTGATTTTTATGGTATTTACATTATGAATTTATTAAAAAAACAAAATACCAGTCAATCAATAAATGGTTTTTATTTCAATTTATTTTTATTTTATCTTTGTTTAAACCTATTTCGAGAATAACATCTACTATTTTTTACAACTATAATGTAAACTGTGATATGTAGAATTGTAGTTATATTGACAAAAACGATATAGTCTCGTCTATTTCATATATAATTTGTAAAACATATGTAAATCTCCAAAATTTTTAATTGCATCTCACATTCCATATACGCATTTTTTCTTATAGTTTGAGTGAAATATTGCCATAACAAGCTTCAAACGCAATATTTTCGACAATAACAAGCTTATATCTTAAAGTCAATACATGTTCCTCTTACTCACATTATCTAAATGGTGTAAAAACGCGTGCCCAATAAATATCAGCCACGTGTCATTTGTAATTATCGATACTTAAAACCCGTGATAAACCTTCTGCCAAGCACCAAAATTGTTGTTGTTGTGCTAAATAAACAGTAGCTGCATTTCATTTAAACGTGGTTTTCTGATTGGGAAAGAAATTGTTATACGTAACATTCAATTTATTTATTTTATTGAAATATATAAACATATTACATATGCATAGGCATACAGGACAGGCATGATAAGAGCATGTGCATTGATACATCGATATCGTGAATGTTTAAACATTAAATTAAAATGTATCTAACACAAAGGTCATATGAAAAATTAATGAAGTAAAAACACTTGTCGATTTGATTCACCGGTGAAAAAATAAAAATGATCCCGTTTATTGTTGGTACATTTATACTGCAATGGTATAAGTGATATTATGATTTTGCTTGTGACTAAGTGCCAGATAAGGATTTATTACATTTTACATTTTATTTTAGCTCACCTGAGCATATGCTCAGGGTGAGCTATTAGGATCACTCTTCGTCCGTCGTCTGTCGTCCGTCGTACGTCGTCCGTTGTCCGTTCACACTTTTAAAACGACATCTCCTCTGAAACCATAAGGCAGGCAGATCATAATGAAACTTCACAGGGATGTTCCTTGTGTGAAGCCTTAACAAAGTTGTTCAAAGAATTCCATTCCATGCAGAACTCTGGTTGCCATGGCAACCAAAAGAAAAAACTTTAAATATCTTCTTCTAAAAATCCAAAAGAGCTAGAACTTAGATATTTGGCATGAAACATCTTCTAGTGAGTGTCAACCAAGTTTGTTCAAATAATAGCCCTGGGATTAAAATTGGCCCCGCCCCAGGGGGTCTTTGATTTTCCCTATATGCATATAGTAAAAACTTAAAAAATCTTCTTTTAAATAACCCAAAGAGCTAGAGCTAAGATATTTAGCATGAAACATCTTCTAATGGGTGTCTACCAAGTTTGTTCAAATAAAAGCCCTGGGGTCAAAATTGGCCCCGCCCCAGGGGTCATTGATTTCCCCTATATACATATAGTAAACACTTAAAAACCTTCTTTTAAAGAACGTTAAGAGCTAGAGCTAAGATATTTAGCATGAAACATGTTCTAATAGATGTCTACCAAGTTTGTTCAAATAAAAGCCCTGGGGTCAAAATTGGCTCCGCCACAGGGGGTCATTGATTTTCCTTATAATTATGTGTATAGCAAAAACTTAAAAAATCTTCTTTGAAAAAAACTCAAATAGCTAGAGTTTAGATATTAAGCATGAAGCATCTTCTAGTGAGTGTCTACAAAGTTTGTTCAAAATAAAAGCCCTAGGGTCAAAATTGGCCCCGCTCTGGGGGACATTGATTTTCTTTATATGTGTATAGCAAAGACTTAAAAATCTTCTTTGAAAAAAAAACCCGAATAGCTAGAGTTTAGATATTAAGCATGAAACATTTTCTAGTAAGTGTCTACAAAGATTGTTCAAATAAAAGCCCTGGGGTCAAAACTGGCCCTGCCCCAGGGGTGTCATTGTTTCTAACTATATGTTTAAAGAAAAAACATTAAAAATCTTCTTTTGAAAAACCCAACGAGCTAGACCTTAGATGTTTAGCATGAAACATCTTCTAATGGTTGTCTACCAAGTTTGTTCAAATAAAAGCCCTGGGGTTTAAACTGGCTCTGCTCCAGGGGCCTATACTTTTCGTAATTTATTACGATTTACTTATTGATTTGTAACGATAGAAAAGTTATCGATACTTAATTTATTTCATACTAACGTCCTCGAAATATATTTCTATTTCATGTATAATGTCACACGTACATGTTTTTTCGTTAGTATTTTAAGAACCAATAAGCCTAAGATTTCCCGATATTAGTAGTTCTATTTAAAGAAATTAACAAGTGCACATGGAAATGATGACAATATTTGCTTAAAAAAATGTGAATTACAAAACGACTGATTGATATTTATATCATAAAAAGAACGTTTACAATTTCTATTGCAAGTACTGTTATTTATGATATTATGAGTACATATATACATAATATATATACTTTATTAATTTAGTGCGTGTGTTTCCATTCCTTATATAAAATACTTGACTTGATGAATGATAGTGTATAACAAATTACGGCTTAACATGATTTCATTAATTATTCAGTATATCTTTTAGATTATATATTATAATCAAACTTGTAAACAAATTTACCTTTTCATATATTTACGTCTTTATGAAAATTATCATTTTTCGAAGTTAACGTCTTCAAGTACATTTTAGAAAAAGGGGTCGAAATGTCCGGTCAATTTAAGGGGTCTAAGTGTCTTAGGGGTCTAAGTGTCATGGGTCGAGATGTCTTAGGGGTCGAAATGTCAAAGAGTCGAGGTGTGAAGGTGTCGAGATGTCATAGACTCGCTGGGCCGCCAACTTCACACCGCTAGGTTGCTGGGCCGCTAACTTTACACGGCTATCCCGCCAGGCCGCCAACTTTACACCGCTTGGCCGCTGAGCCGCTAGGCCACCAACTTCAAGGATCTTTAGATTAAATATTTTTGGAACCAGAACAGGTTGACTACATTGATAATTATTTTATTACTTTTGTAAAACGTTTACTCTTAAGGAGAGGTTCTGCAGAATATGGGGACAACTCTAAGCCAAAAAATTGATAAGCTTGAACACGCACAGGGACATATTCAGACAGAAGTTCTCCAAAATTTGACGAACAAATTAAATGAAACAAGTAAGTACACTGCTCTTTATATGTATCAATTAATATTTTAACTTTAGAAATTATCTAAATAAGCTCTTAATTATCTTTACTATCAGTTGCATCAATATTTTAAAAAAACAACTTCAGGCACTTTCTATAAAATAAATGGGTGTATAACTAGCACGGTTGCACTGTAATAAAAAGGAAAGAGGTAGTTATCAGATTTTTTTTAAATCTTGTATGGCAGACAATATTTTGGGAACGTAAGGGTGAACTTTTACATTTAAGAAAAAATTGTGTAAAAATGATTTGTTATAATTTTTCAATATCATTTTTCAGACGTCTCGGTCGGATTTGCTGTAGATAACCCAGATACGTCCTCCGGTTCTCCCCTTACGTTCACATACGTAATATACAATACAGGCGACGACTATAATGTGTCCTCAGGTGTGTTCACTTGTAGACATCCAGGACTCTACTTCTTCACAACAACTCTTATCAGAAAATCGGGTGCTGATAACTTCGTATGTGGTTTTTATGTCAACGGCAATCGCAAGTCAATAGTGTACAGTGGTTCTGGTGTCAATGATGGATATCAGTCAGGATCAGCATCACTTGTTTATCGTTTAAAAGCAGGAGATATTGTTATGCTATCGGAATGCCTTGGACAAGACCAAATGACATTTTTTTCTACTTTCACTGGATTTCGTGTTTCATATTAATTGACCAATCACAGTCAGTTAATAACATAAAAGTATAAGATTTATAAGATTAATTTACACTTTTTCAAAAGGCGTTTAAAACTGTATATTATTAAACTTTATTATTCAGATTTACATAAATACTAAAAAAAAAGAAACAAAAAAATACAAAAGTTTACCATCTTGTTAACAACTTTTGTATCGGTTTTATACAACAACAACAACAACAATTTTGTTTTCATTTTCTGTAGAAAAAGTTTCACTTATTTCATATTTTCCTTATTTGAAAAGTGATTATACAGAACTATACATGTATTTTTTAATAACTTGAAAAATAAATTAATGTAAAATCTATATGAAAATATTTTTGTTTTGTTTATTGAGACAGGTACCTTTCATTTTACATCAAATAAGAAGAGGATGGAGTGAAAAAATCCCGTTAGATTTTGTACAATGTAATCGGGCATCAAAATATGTTTAATAATAATTATCTAGAAACTATTATTAATTTGTTTTGCTATCAAATTTCACACATTTCACAGTTAATAGTATACATTTGTTATTATATGCCCTATCTATTCAGATTTACGTAAAAAAATGTATATAAGATTTTAGAATTGTTACAAACAGAAAATAAGACAGCTCTTTATTAATTAGGGTTATACTGTAAAAACGCAATGTCTATAAGAAATTCGATAATTTATATTACGGATTAGTGTAAAATTGTCTTGAAATATTGAACGTGCTATTTATTATATGCCTGTTAGTGTTTATATGGTTGCTTTGGTCAACCAGACTGTGTTAGTTTGTATATATGTATGTTTATAGTTTGATGTTGTAAATAAGATGTTATTTATTATAAGCCTAATAGTGTTTATATGGATGTTTCTGGTCAACCGTACAGTTCTAATTTAATAGATGATTAGTTATATTTAGTTATGAAAATATATTATAATTAAGCAAAACATTGTTGAAAAGGTAGCAAACTTTATATGGATGTTTCTGGTCAACTGTACAATTCTAATTAAATAGATTATTAGTTATATCTAGTTATGAAAATATCTTATAATTAGCCAAAACATTGTTGAATATAGTGCAATGAGCGTTTTATGACTCGAAATATACAATATGGACAAAACCACATTAATTAACTCCCGTGCGAAATCTAACATATTATATAAAGTTAGCTATCGGTGTCTATTAACGTATGTATAGACAACTTTTATTGCTAGTTACACATTCGGTACGATACTACTATAATATTATATATGTTTGTAAAAATGGAAATATTACTCCTGTGCTCAGTTAAGAATTGTATTAAGTATATTACTTTGTCTTATGACTCAATTTAGTCGTAAGGCTTTTTCTTAAATTACAACTTTGCAATCGAAATATTTTTTGGAATAGCCAATTGTTAACCTTCCCTTTCGTTTCGTGTAAGGTTAACTGTAGTTTTGGAGTTCTATTCCCTTTCAATATAGTATAGTGTGATACTATAGTTGGTAATTTAAATCGAAATATTACGCTATACTACTGATACAGAAGTGTAACCTTATCATAGATGTAATACGTTATATAACTCGTAATATACAATATGGACAAGACTACATTAATTAGCTCCCTTGCGAAATCTAATATAGTATATATAGTTAGATATCGGTGTTTATTACGTATGTATAGATAACTTTATTGCAAGTGACACAATAATGTATGTGAAATTCACGCTATCTTTGTCAACATGTTCGTTACTCAATATTTAACTATGTAATATATGTTAAACTGATTATGTCAAATCCTATACTGAAGGAAACAAAATAGATTAAACTGTTCACCTTCAAGAAATTTGCAGACTATCCATTGATTTTGTGATTGTATATATGTATGTATGAATGTATTATGTAATTGACTATGTACTTTGTATACGTCAAAATAAACTTTCTGTTCTGTTCTGTTCATAAAACTTGATTTAAAAAAAAAACAACAAATTTTAGAAATAAATTAAGAAAGAAAATAATAATCTGACAAAACTAAAAGAAGAAAAATTGAAATAAAATATTGCATCTTCTGGGGTTTGAACCCAAGCGCTATTGAAAGTCTGTCTCTCTTCAAGAACAAACAAGGCGTTGTCAATATATCCGGCAGGTAAACTGGCAATACAATCTTGTCCATTAAAATTGAGTCTATTATTTCCAGTTAACTTGTTTCAGATGACATCAACCATTTTTTTCTAGCAAAATCTACACTTTGTTTAACTTCCAAGAACAACGAAATTTTAGTTATTTCGTCTAATGCCTATCTGTGAAAACCGATTTGATTGCGTGGCTATAAAAAGCTTTCTCGGGAAATCCGAATCATAATAAAGGCGAAACATATATTATGGTGGTTATCAGATCTACATGTAAGAAATAAGTAGATCTGAACTTTAGTGAGATTGAAAGTGCAGCCCTCTGAACAACGGCTCTCTGTATATATGTATACAAGTTCATATGAAATAAAATATCATGTAAAAATGGTATTTCAGTAAATAAAGACAGTAATTGACAATCTGAAATAGGGAACATCTGTTCATGTTTAAGTTCAAGAACCGCAGAATATTTAGTTGACTAAAACCTGAACTTCCTATAATTTGGTACGCTTGTTGCCGTTATGCCACAATAACACTCTAACGGGAATATGACTTCATTTTCTGAATGAAGCGACTCCGTCTAGGTATTTTTATATAAGCACTGGCCTTTTTATCAAAAACTACCGGGACGAAAGCTTGATAAATATTATTGAAAATAGAAAAGTATGTAAGGTGATTTGTCGTAAAGAAAGTTTACACTTTTTAAGTTGGTACCTACATGCATGGTGTTGTTAGAATTATATGATATTTGTTCATTCTTTGATGATACGTAAAGATCATATTATTGAAAATTTTAAGTGTAAAGGATATTTACATATCTTATCAAAGTTCTCGTTTAGAATAAGCATCTTTACATTTGCAACAATGTGGAATATAAACAATAGAAACTTTTACTATGGCACTTCTGGAGTTGTTACTAATCATATATTTCAGAATTAACCGGTACTTAAAGCAACTTTCTATTCTAGATATAAATCAAATAACAAGAAATAGCTTAAAAATATCAAGGCACATATAGTTAAGTACAGTATTATTTAATGCAACTTTTCCCTTCTACTGTAAAATCGGCCACAGAAATTAAATATTCGGAAAGAAATGATAGATCTATATCACACAGAAAAGTCAATATTTATGTAAAATTTACAAAACGTTCAGCAATTTCGGAAAAATCTTTACCGCTTTCTAGAGTCGTAAGCTTCTTTTCAATATACAATTAAAGGACCTCCACTGAGGTCTGACAGGTAATTTGGTGTCAAAAAAATGTAAACAAATTTCCATTCAAATCACAATATTATAAGTAAAATAACAATAACTTACACTTTAACCAACCCTCTAACAACTATTACGCTAGAAAATGCATTTTGTACATTAGCTTTTGATGCAAAAATGAAAGTTGGTTTTCCAAGACATGTACAGAAGTTACCCACAATTCATCGGGTACAACTAAATAACGCAACGGAGATGACTAAAATACGCAATGGACATTTTGGGGCAACAGAGTAAACGGGGGAAAATGTCTATTGATTTTTCTCAACACTCTTACCTATCGTGCTTATATAACTTGAGTATAACGAAGAAAAATTGTATAAAAGCTATTCAATATAGCAATTTTGATGTCTTGAAAAATTAAACGCCAGCGAAACGGACATTTTCTAGACAAAACGGAGAGATGTACATGTATATTGTTTTGAAGATATTGAAAAGTTTCGATTTCGATATTTTGAAGAATTGGATGAAGACGAACATAGTGCATCGGTGATATTTATACTATAACGAGTACAATGTAATCACGACTCTTCAGCTTTACTGGTGGAGAAAGAACTCCACTTTGCAAAATTGTTTCTGGCACAAACGGGCATCTGAGTGCAATGAGTGACGTTTCGTAGGCTTTTTGGATAGGACCGTACATACACGTTCCAACACACCTATTTCTGAACTTCAAGTATACATATGTCATTATGTATGTTATGTAATAGAAAGAGCATCGAAACACGAGACTATTTGATTTGTACGAGTGTTCTGCTTTGGTACTAGGGGAATTCTTGTACAACTAAAATACAAAAAGATGTCCTTTTTCCTCAATTTATTTTCAAACTATTTTTTAAACTATTTCAATCCAGAGTCATACAATCTATATGTCCATATATAGAATAACATAAACAGATATTAAAGATTGAAATTAAAATAGAATTATATTACACATACAAATTATCTAAACAAAGTGAAAGTAGAATTCAATAATTTTCATTCAACATGCCATTTTAACTTGATTATATTAAACAAAAGATGATGATTTCATAATCTATTACATGTTTTCATTCCAATTATTATCATCTTGCCTTCTAACATATAATAAAGATTAAAACTTAAGTTCTCACCAAATAATAACAATATAAAGTTTCCGGAAATAAATTCTACTGACAGAAAGCGCCATGTTTACTTTTCTATTAAATTATGCCAACTGGTCAAATTAAACGAAAACGACTAGTTGAACGAAAAGTTTGTAATATATTAAATAACTTCTACATGTAGTTAAAACAATTACATATACATTTAAGTCAGAACATAAGTTATAACACCCAAAAATTACAAAGTACAACATTCTCTTAACATTAACTTAAAATATTTGACTTACCTAAAATACAAAAAGATGTCCTTTTTCCTCAATTTATTTTCAAACTATTTTTTAAACTATTTCAATCCAGAGTCATACAATCTATGGCTCTTCAGAGGAAAGGACTTTAGAACAACAACTTCCATAACAATAATAGACCAATCAATTTTACTGTACATCATGTGACCCTTAATTCCCTTAGGTAATTTTAACCAATCAATTTTAATTTCGTGTAACGAAATTTGGAATCACCCAATGAAACAATGTTTACTTGTTAATAAAAGTATTAACTGAAACCCTGTAAGTTCATGACAAATCAGCTTATGGTTACTGATAGTGTTAAAATTTCTTTTGTAACATTTACAATCGAAAGGTCTGAAATAGGATTAATTATCTTGTTAAAGCGATTACCGTAGATTGGTTAACTTAGATCTTCCTATCTGTATTTGTTCTTATGCCTTCTGTTATAACATATTACCGACATTATTACCTAATGAAATAAAAGCAAAATAAAAATTAAAATAAAATTGAATAATAAAATATAAAATCAAAAATTTTAATGCATAATACCAGTATTAGATTGCCGGGTGTTTTGATGTTCTTTTTCTTTTTTATCATTAAATACACGTTCCCTGTTGTAACAATATAAAGTAACCACTAAACCAGCTTCTGAATGTGGCATTTCTATTTTTATTCCTGTCGCTGTCGTCACAAAAAGTAAACCCCAGAAAAAATGAGTCAATCAATGGGCATGCTCTGGAGCGCGGGTAACTAATACCTGCACTCCAGTTAACGCCCTGTGCATGTATGTGTATACGATTTAATTCTGACACGTTTTCAACAGAAAGGTCCACAAACTATGATACAGTAAATGTTTATTATTCACATAGACACTTGTTAAGAATTTAATGATTTTTCGGTGAAAATGATATAGTTTAGTTTTACTACAGATAAGATCAAAGTGCTGAAGGCGCTGAAAAAAAACCGATTAACTAGCGACTTTAAGTAACACATTTTCACTCCAGTTTCACAGGTAAATTAATTCTATACGTCAGGTTTTACGTCTTTATATCAGTATACCTTTGCTTTTTGAGACTTTTGTTTTTGAAAATAACCTAAACGAGTAAAATAATCCCTTTTTTTGGGGGCAAATAATTAAATAAATAGCATCCCTGATTTCTCTTTCATAAATTTGCTTTATCAAATTATTTTCTATTCAAATATTAAGAACATTCTGTCTACTACTTGAAATCTACCTGGGTGCGTTTTGTTTGTAAACCTAGTTATCCTGCCGATAAAGATTTTGCAAGCAATCTGGTGTACCTCTCTTATTTTTAAGTGCTAACACTTAGTATTAAATTCCAAAGAAAATGTCTTAGGGGACCTTTAACGTTTGGTTACGGTATAATCACTATAAACGAAATACTTACGAATTAATTGTAATGCCTGTAGCTGTGAAATTTTTCGTTCATGTGTTTAAAATACTAAAGAAAGTAGCTCTATAAATTTTCACGATATCCAGTATTTCCGAAACAATTTACAAAGGCTTTAATTACACTATATCATACATCTTTGTGTTACGAGTACCACCCACCTTATCTCCAGAACATACATATGAAAAACAAGATCAACAAGGAATGGTAGCATTCAACGAACGCAACACCCACACGACCAAGCAACAAAGGGCCACAGCTAAGTTATCAATGAAAAAAAATACTTTCAGGCTTTCAAATGGCAAATAACAAGACAAAATAAAAGGAAAACAGAAAGAGAGAAAGAAGAGATAAAAGTAGGGTTAAAAACGACAGGAAAAATAAGATTTCAGTGCTATAAAGCAGGAAAAGTAGGGTTCTCTTCCTAACTTATTAATGCAATCAAATGCACCAGCTCAATATTTATCCATTGCATTTTTTTGAAACCAGTCACTCGTGTCTTAACAAAATACATGTTGTTGGAAAATGAACCTCAACTTTGAAGTTTTTTTAACAAATCAAAATATTTACAAAACTATTAACAATGAGTATATCATGATAAAACAGGCTATTAGAAGTAAAAACTCTTTTCCAAGTTTGTATACAGTCTAGTAGTTGTAAGTGTTTTAAAACATAGTTTAAACAATGGTTGTTGTATTAGATGAGGTTAATATCTTACTGAATTCTTAAAGTTACTTTTACTTACCTGCCCTTTACTTAGGTTTTGTCTTGCAAGTATCATGATTTTGTTTGTTCGTTTTATTTGAAAGAAAGTTTGGGTCTAAAGAACAACAACTATATGATCAGTTTTAAGTTTATTTCAATAGTCACGACAATAACCCTGCTGTGGTAGCTCGAGTGTGTCATGGGCTGCGTCTTGTGAACGTTGTCGTCGCCTTGTTGATCTTTATTCCTGTCTTCTTTTGTTTACTCTTGTCCCGCTTTCAATTTCTCTTCCACCGGGAAGCTTCAATATATCGATAACATTAAAGCAGAGATCAATTGACCCATCACTAATACAGAAATTTATCAAGATATCTGCTTAAGCATACAATTTATACTGATAATAATAATATTAAAAGAGCCAGGGTGTAATTCTTTTCCGACCTTGGTAATGTTTACCATGTGCTAGTTGCATGGAACAGGTATTAATTTCCTATAGTTTTGAATGTCCTGATCAGAAACGTAGTAATCTTCTTATCAACAATAAAATGTAAAATGATAAAAATACAACTTCAGATCTATCTAGCAAAGGACGTCGATTTTTTTCTTATAGAATATTAAGTATATGCACTAGACACACATCAAAATATTTAATAATAAAGTTGATGTCTAAATGTCCTATTATGTGGCCCGATTCATTCCCTATGTAGCCAGTGCTTTCAGTGCTTTGATCCGAGTTAAAGAGAAAACGAAATCGTTTTCTTTGTATTGTGTAAGTGTGTGCGTGTGATTTTTGATGCTAACAATACTCAAGGTCTTGTTCGTTGTATAAAAGGTATTACAGTGTTTTTTTTTTGAACGGGTGTCAAATAAACCAAAGTGACCTCTGAAATAGGACCCATCACACTGTCTTGATAAAAGAAATTTTCATAGCCTAGATATCTTGATATTTTAACCATAACAAAGTTTAAACAAAATATTTATTAATAACACGGTCGCACTCAATTTAACATAGAATATTTGTAAAGTTTGTGTACTATGTCAGTTTCCATCTCCGTACGTTTAGCCAACTTCATCATTTTAACTGAGTAAAAATACATGATTACAACAATATAATGCTTTAAATGTATTAAAATTGCCTTTGAATAGTTTTTCTCGCAAGAACATATGTGCAGAACAAGAAATTTAACAAACAAACCCATAATTTGCTCTTAAATTTATGCAATGTTGGTATATTTCAATTTCGAAATCCGTTGCTGCCGATACACAAACAATACTCCGTTTCGCTTTTTAGTCATCCCGAGACTCATCACGTGACCGTTGTTTATATTCAGATTTGCAAACTGAAAGGCGTTACGAAATTGGAGAAAATATGTATTTCAAACGAATTGCCAAGCCAAAGAACACATATCAATGTATCAATGATCCAGTTTAAATGTCCCCAACACGCAGGTAACAAAAAATTATCGTATCGGTTCGTGAAAATTTACTTTTTTGTGACATGCGACCATACCTCAGTGGTGCACCTTTAAGATGAGTAGAGGATTTGCATTGTTTTGCATGGATATTGTGGCCAGGTTTTTACCAAATGTAAAATATCTTCGGACTTATATGAATATTCTAACAAAGTTTATTGAGGATCAACTCAAAATTTTAACTTTTGGACAGATCGATAAACATGGAAAGAATGCTGATACCTTTTCTCAATCTAAACATCCTCAGCTATTACCTATAAAAACCTCAGAGTTAATACGTCCACCGCGTTATTTCAGATGTAAACAGAAACAGAGAGTGTTCTCTGTGATAATATATATTTGACATCCAAAGGAAAATTAAGTCTGTTTCGGTATAATTATGATTGAAAATATGTCTGACAACCATTTGTTATTTAAATATGCCCACTGATGTAGAATTCTAAACAAAATCCGACCCAATGTCAGCAGGTAGGCATTTTGTACTTTCGGTTTCTACAACCATAATAAATATAAAAAATAATGTATTGATTTATTTTGCATTTATGTATTCATTTATTGTATGTGGACTTATACTTGATATATTGGAAATAAACTTGTCAACAACTCCCAACATTAAATTACTATTTCTTTACACGTCTTGTGTGTATTCACACTATAGTGTTCGAGGTCCTTAGGAAAGATCATTCTCTATAAAAATCAGATTTCGCGGTACTTGAAAGATGATCAGTTTAGACTTCAACCGTTTAGAACGGGTTCTTGATTATCATAATTTCGAATTATTGCGTAAGAATATTTTGTTTTAGATAAATAACCTTGAGAAAAATTTCAGGTGAGCTAAAATAGCATGAAAATAACACAGATGGAAGTTTTAAAACAACTACATATTCTTAAACTTAAAAAATAAAGTCATATCTAATGCTTAAATAGATTCATACTTTAACATGCTTCCTAAACTGCACAGTTAGTATTTTGCAACTAAGATATTTCATCTATTCAAATATAGATAAATGTGCCCGTACGATCAATAAATATTTCTTTCAATAATTTCAGATACACCTATTGGATTTACAGTAGGCACTCCAGATACATCATCCGTTTCTATTCTAAAGTACAAAGTCGTATATCTCAACGAAGGAGGGGATTATAACCAGTCCACTGGAGTTTTTACATGCCGAATCCCGGGACTGTACTCTTTCACTGCAACTATGTTTAAAACCCCAGGTGGAAGAGAAAGTTACTGCTATTTTTATGTCAACAATCATAAGTATATGCCAGTAAGCAGTGGTACTCACGATACGAGCGATAATATGTCTGGTTCCAAAACTTTTGTGTTCATGTTGAAAGTTGGAGATAGAGTTTACCTATCTAACTGTGGAGGCATAGATCTTACAAACCAACAATCAAGCTTTTCCGGATTTCTTGTTTCCATTTGAAATTTACTTCATCATCTTTCGTATGAACTAACTGTAGCTGTTGGTCACTTTAATAGATTAGAAAAGTAGTTCCGTTCTTTTGTCGTTATTGTTAGTTCCATATCAGTTAGTTTGGCTATATTGTTAATTTCATATCATCGTTAAAGTAATGCAGGTTTCGACAAAGCTCCATCTGTTGTGATATATATTTAAATACAAATAATCACATATATATATTTAACAAAGTGATAACAATGTTATGTCACGGTTGCTGACCATTTTCCGACCTTAAATAAGCAAACTTGTTAAAAGATTATGCGCAAAAGTCTTACAGTCAGACAAGGGCATGCCTAGGATATGCGCATCTCCTTTTGGTATTGAATGTTCCCATAAAATAAGATAAAATCCAGCGTAGAAAGCTTAGAAAGGAATGTGTCGCTGTTTTTATTTTCATTTCATACATGAAACATCAATATAAGATACAATTTTAAAAGAAATAACAATTTCAATAGAATTAAGCAAAACAATTTTTACACACAAATACTGCACAACATCATTTTGAATTTTTAAGAGATTTGGTCTTTAATTAAATAATTATGTTGTCAGACAGGAGAAACCATGAAACAATGTATATAAATGTCAATGGCAATTGTGAAATACATGATTATATAAATTTATAAATTCATGAATAAACAACATGACAAATAACAAAGTTATAAAACTATACATTGTTTTCTTTGATTAAAGTTTAAAAAATTCATAAATTTGTAGCTGCCGTGTAAAAAGATACATATTTAAAAACTAATAAGGAGTCATAAATCGGAGAGAACGTTAAGAAATAGACATGCCAATATTCTACTTTTTAAATTAAATATTTGTACAAAGTTTTGATGAAAACTAGTCAGCAGTTGCCGATTAATAGCGCGAAAACAAGTTCGAAGAAATGGACGGACATAGAAAAACCTCCCTCCCCCCCCAATATTTCCAACTTAGATAATACAACTCACTTTTTTTCTTTAAAATGTGTTTTGTCAAAGTTTAAATCAAAATGCCAATTTATAACAAATTTATGGCAATTAAATCAAAATTCAAAAAAACGGTAAGTCATTTAAAAAAAACAAATTTGTCATTTTTTGTCAAAAGTATTATCTTGTCCGAGTATAAATCAAATTAATCATTTACAAAGTTATCATCAATTAAAGCAACATTAATTATTTGACCTCATAGGTCTAGGTTTTTAGAAACTTCAAGATCAAATTTAATTTGGAAGTTATCAAAAAGGTTGTAATGTACTGATATTAAAACTATCAAATTCAAGTAATTCAAAACAAGTTGATCTAACTCGGTGTTAAATGGTCTAATTGGGACATACCAATAGTTTTTGCATCTCCATGGTTACAGTATCTCGTTTTGGTATTAAAAGTTTCTATAAAATATAACACTCAGCTGTAGCAAAAGCGCGTAAACAAACATTACTTCGAATGTATAGTACATAACTAATCAGGGGACATAATTCTAAGATGAATGCACATACCTTGACATTTAAATGATATTATATATATGCATGTCATTTGATTATTAAATATTCCTTTGAAGTTTTATAGAAATCAAGTCAATAGTTGCTGTGAAATATTACGGAACGAATGCTACTCCTTATAATACTTCAAAACTAGTCAGTGCAATAACTTTGTTATGAAGGGTCATGTATTGTTTGGTTTTATTAACCTGTCAATTACATACTGATTACACGGTCGATGCACACAGTATATTAATCTTCGGTAAATGTTCGGTAAGTTCCGTGAGATGTACGCTGTACGATGGCATTTAATTTAATTTGTATCTCTAAACTAAGTACTCAGCGTTATAGCGCATAGGGTAAATCACGAGTTTATAATCTAAGTGCCACACGTGTTTTTTTCTTATTAATACTTTCAACATTATTGAATCTATATATGATTATTTTATGTTGTTCGTTTTTTATTATGTTTTACTTAATTTTGTTATGCATATACTCTTTTTAAATAATATGTTTTTAAGAATTCATGTTTAAAATTAAAACGGTTTAAAATCAATAAATGTCTTTTCAATGCCGTAAAACACACTACAAATCTGTTCCATTGAAATATACTGCAAAAATAAAGAAAGAGTACTAAAAAAATGGCAACAGTAAGGATCGAACCACAGACCTCTCAATTATCAGGCATTCTCTTTACCGACTGTCCTATTGTGAATTAACGAAAACCTTCACATTAAGCTGGCGCTTACAATCCATGACTAATTTACTCCACATTAATTCTCGTAAACTACACGGACCAAACCGAAGTGGGATCGAATATTTAAATGAGTCCTGTAATGTATTCATAATTGACAGGTCAATAAAATCAGACTATAACATATATAAAAGATATACGCATCTCCTGTAAGTATTGAATGGTCCCTAAAATAGAAACAAACAAATCCGCAAGGAATGGTTAAAACGGCATAACTGAAATTGTTGAAATATCGGATTGATTGAGTCTGTCAAAAAGGCAGATCTAAAAATGTGACAGTTAACATACATATATGATTTTTTCAGGTAAGAATACAGTTATTCATCTGATTAAGGAGACATTTTTGTCAAACAGTGTCTTTTGTTCTAATCCATTCCTTTGAATACTAGAAAATGATCTGATGATCTGCCTGTCAACCCAGGAAGAGCGGTACTCTAGTGGTCAAGATGTCTACCTTTCAACCCAGGAAGAGCGGTAGTCTAGTGGTCAAGATGTCAGCCTTTCAACCCAGGAAGAGCGGTAGTTTAGTGGTCAAGGTGTCTGCCTTTCAACCAAGGACGAGCGGTAGTCTAGTGGTCAAGGTGTCTGCCTTTCAACCCAGGAAGAGCGGTAGTCTAGTGGTCAAGGTGTCTGCCTTTCAACCCAGGAAGAGCGGTAGTCTAGTGGTCAAGGTGTCTGCCTTTCAACCCAGGAAGAGCGGTAGTCTAGTGGTCAAGGTGTCTGCCTTTCAACTCAGGAAGAGCGGTAGTCTAGTGGTCAAGGTGTCTGCCTTTCAACCCAGGAATAGCGGTAGTCTAGTGGTCAAGGTGTCTGCCTTTCAACTCAGGAAGAGCGGTAGTCTAGTGGTCAAGGTGTCTGCCTTTCAACCCAGGAAGAGCGGTAGGTCTAGTGGTCAAGATGTCTGCCTTTCAACCCAGGAAGAGCGGTAGTCTAGTGGTCAATATGTCTGCCTTTCAACCCAGGAAGAGTGGTAGTCTAGTGGTCAAGATGTCTGCCTTTCACCCAGGCAGAGCGGTATCTAGGTCAGTGGTCAAGATATCTGCTCAACCAAGGAAGAGCGGTAGTCTAGTGGTCAAAGATGTCTGCTCAACCCAGGAAGAGCGGTAGTCTAGTGGTCAAGATGTCTCCCTTTCAAACCCAGGAAGAGCGGTAGTCTAGTTGTCAAGATGTCTGCCTTTCAACCCAGGAAGAGCGGTAATCTAGTGGTCAAGATGTCTCCCTTTCAACCCAGGAAGAGCGGTAGTCTAGTGGTCAAGATGTCTACCTTTCAACCCAGGAAGAGCGGTAGTCTAGTGGTCAAGATGTCTGCCTTTCAACCCAGGAAGAGCGGTAGTCTGGTGGTCAAGAAGTCTGCCTTTCAACCCAGGAAGAGCGGTAGTGTAGTGGTCAAGGTGTCTGCCTTTCAACCAAGATAGAGCGAAGTCTAGTGGTCAAAGTGTCTGCCTTTCAACCCAGGAAGAGCGGTAGTATAGTGGTCAAGATGTCAGCCTTTCAACCTAGGAAGAGCGGTAGTCTAGTGGTCAAGAAAGTCTGCCTTTTCAACCAGGCGGTGCGGTAGTCTAGTGGTAAAGATATCTGCCTCTCAACCCAGGAAGAGCGGTAGTCTAATGTCAAGATGTCTGCATTTCAACCCAGGAAAGCGGTAGTCTAGTGTCAAGATGTCTGCCTTTCAACCCAGGAAGAGCGGTAGTCTAGTGTCAAGATGTCTGCCTTTCAACCCAGGAAGAGCGGTAGTCTAGTGGTCAAGATGTCTGCCTTTCAACCCAGGAAGAGCGGTAGTCTAGTGGCCAAGATGTTTCCCTTTCAACCCAGGAAGAGCGGTAATCTAGTGGTCAAGATGTCTGCCTCTCAACCCAGGAAGATTGATAATCTAGTGGTCAAGATGTCTGCTCTCAACCCAGGAAGAGCGGTAGTCTAGTGGCCAAGATGTTTCCCTTTCAACCCAGGAAGAGCGGTAGTCTAGTGGCCAAGATCTCTGCCTCTCAACCCAGGAAGAGTGATAATCTAGTGGTCAAGATGTCTGCCTTTCAACCAAGGAAGAGCGGTATTTAGTGGTCAAGATGTCTGCCTTTCAACCAAGGAAGAGCGGTAGTCTAGTGGTCAAGATATCTGCCTCTCAACCCAGGAAGAGCGGTAGTCTAGTGGTCAAGATGTCTGCCTTTCAACCCAGAAAGAGCGGTAAGTCTAGTGGTCAAGATGTCTGCCTTTCAACCCAGGAAGAGCGGTAGTCTAGTGGTCAAGATGTCTGCCTCTCAACCGAGGAAGAGCGGTAGTCTAAGAGGTCAAGATGTCTGCCTCTCAACCCAGGAAGAGCGGTAGTCTAGTGGTCAAGATGCCTGCCTCTCAACCCAGGAAGAGCGGTAGTCTAGTGGTCAAGATGTCTGCCTTTCAACCCAGGAAGAGCGGTAGTCTAGTGGTCAAGATGTCTTCTGCCTTTCAACCCAGGAAGAGCGGTAGTCTAGTGGTCAAGATGTCTGCCTTTCAACCCAGGAAGAGCGGTAGTCTAGTGGTCAAGATGTCTGCCTTTCAACCCAGGAAGAGCGGTAGTCTAGTGGTCAAGATGTCTGCCTTTCAACCAAGAAAGAGCGGTTGTCGAGTGGTCAAGATGTCTGCCTTTTCAACCCAGGAAGAGCGGTAGTCGAGTGGTCAAGATGTCTGCCTTTCAACCCAGGAAGAGCGGTAGTCTAGTGGTCAAGATGTCTGCCTTCAACCCAGGCAGAGCGGTAGTCTAGTGGTCAAGATATCTGCTCAACCCAGGAAGAGCGGTAGTCTATGGTCAAGATGTCTGCCTTTCAACCCAGGAAGAGCGGTAGTCTAGTGGTCAAAATGTCTGCCTTTCAACCCAGGAAGAGCGGTAGTGTAGTGGTCAAGATGTCTGCCTTTCAACCAAGGAAGAGCGGTAGTCTAGTGGTCAAGATATCTGCCTTTGAACCCAGGAAGAGCGGTAGTCTAGTGGTCAAGATGTCTGCCTTTCAACCCAGGAAGAGCTGTAGTCTAGTGGTAAAAATGTCTGCCTTTTAACCCATGAAGAGCGGTAATCTATTGGTCAAAATGTCTGCCTCTCAACCCAGGAAGAGCGGTAATCTAGTGGTCAAGATGTCTGCCTATCAACTCAGAAGAGCGTTAGTCTAGTGGTCAAGATATCTGCTTATCAACTCAGGAAGAGCGGTAATCTAGTGGTCAAGATATCTGCCTCTCAACCCAGGAAGAGCGGTAATCTAGTGGTCAAGATATCTGCTTCTCAACTCAGGAAGAGCGGTAATCTAGTGGTCAAGATATCTGCTTCTCAACCCAGAAAGAGCGGTAGTGTAATGGTCAAGATATTTGCTTCTCAACCCAGGAAGAGCGGTAGTCTAGTGGTTAAGATGTCTGCCTCTCAGCCAAGGAAGAGCGGTTGTCTAGTGGTTAAGATGTCTGCTTCTCAACTCAGGAAGAGCGGCAATCTAATAATCAAGATGTCTGCTTCTCAACCCAGGAAGGGCGGTAGTCTAGTGGTCAAGATCTCTGCCTCTCAACTCAGGAAGAGCGGTAGTCTAGTGGTCAAGATATTTGCTTCTCAACCCAGAAAGAACGGTAGTCTAGTGGTCAAGATATTTGCTTCTCAAACCAGAAAGAGCGGTAGTTTAGATGTCAAAATTTCTGCCTCTCAACCTAGGAAGAGCGGTAGTGTAGTGGTTAAGATGTCTGCCTCTCAACCCAGGAAGAGCGGTAGTCTAGTGGTCAAGATGTCTGCCTTTCAACCCAGGAAGAGCGGGAATCTAGTTGTCAAGATGTCTGCTTCTCAACCCAGAAAGAACGGTAGTCTAGTGGTCAAAATGTCTGCCTCTCAACCTAGGAAGAACGGTAGTCTAGTGGTTAAGATGTCTGCCTCTCAACCTAGGAAGAGCGGTATTCTAGTGGTGAAGATGTCTGCCTTTCAACCTAGGAAGAGCGGTAGTCTAGTGGTGAAGATGTCTGCCTTTCAACCAAGGAAGAGCGGTAGTCTAGTGGTCAAGATGTCTGCCTTTCAACCCAGGAAGAGCGGTAGTCTAGTGGTCAAAATGTCTGCCTCAACCTAGAAAGAGCGGTTGTCTAGTGGTCAAGATGTCTGCCTTTCAACTCGGGAAGAGCGGTAGTCTAGTAGTCAAGATGTCTACCTTTCAACCCAGGAAGAGCGGCAGTCTAGTGGTCAAGATGTATGCCTTTCAACCCAGGAAGAACGGTAGTCTAGTGGTAAAAATGTCTGCCTTTCAACCCAGAAAGAGCGGTAGTCTAGTGGTCAAAATGTCTGCCTCAACCTAGAAAGAGCGGTAGTCTAGTGGTCAAGATGTCTGCCTTTCAACCCGGGAAGAGCGGTAGTCTAGTGGTCAAAATGTCTGCCTCAACCTAGAAAGAGCGGTAGTCTAGTGGTCAAGATGTCTGCCTTTCAACCCGGGAAGAGCGGTAGTCTAGTGGTTAAGATGTCTTCCTCTCAACCCAGGATAAGTTCGAGGACTACTTGTGTTATGACCATGGTCTTTCATATGACACCAGTTTTTCCAGGAAACCAGACTCGAGAGTTGTTCAAATAATTGTTATTCATTTTCGTAAACTTAATGAAAATTAGACTTATGTTGAATTTCTCTTTAAATGATACAGTCATTTAATAACATATTTGGCGGCTCTTACAATGCTACCAAAGAAACATTTATACAAGCCTACTCTTAATGTTGGTCCTTCAAAGCTACACAGTAACTTTCATTAAACCCTTCTTTAGATTTTGCTTCGTCAAAGCTACCCAAAGTCATTCTAAAAAAAGCCATACACTACATTTTGCTTCTTCAAAATTGTCTAGGTATTTTTTTTATAAAGCCATACTGTAAACTTTACTTATTCGTCGACCAATTTTTCTTGTACTAAAAACTATCGTAAGAATTAAAGGTTCATGTCAAAGTTTAGTGAAGATAACTGAATTCCTGACACATAGACATACCCTAGGTCACAAAACAGTTTTATTTTAGAGGAAGTTTTCAGGTTATCCTTTGGGGCATCACTATGAAGTCGGTCAGAGAAAAAAATACAATAGTTTTGAGGCAAAATTAAACGTTTTATGTAAGAAAACACGAATTTATTTTGTGACTTTTTTTTTTTTGCATCAAAACAACCTTTTATATTTTGCATTCCTTTTATAACAGAACATAAATGTGGACAGTCGTGGATTTCTTAAACAGAAAGAAAACAATAGTTTTGAGGAACATATATATCTTTTTTGTATTAGAATGTCAAAATTTTAAATCAATGTCTTTTGTGGAATTAAAGTATAAATAAAAAACAAGGTATTTGTAATATAAAAATATAGTTTATTTCTAATATTGCAAACCAACACATCTAATTGTATAATTATAAAATATTTCATTATGACACAATATATACATAATTATATAAGACATATTTTCAGTATGTCAGTGAAAAAAAGGTCACTGGGTGAAATTTGCGATAATAAAGAGAATATGAGCCGCGTCACGACAAAAGCAACATAATGGGTTTTTGCGACCAGCATGGATCAAGACCAGCCCGGCGCCTCCGCTCAGTCTGATCAGGATCACTGCTGTTCGCTATCAGTTTCTCTAGTTGTAATAGGGTCTGTAAGCGAACAGCACGGATCCTGATCAGACTGCGCAGATGCATGCTGGTCGCAAACCCATTATGTTGGGTGGTTTTGTCGTGACGCTGCTAATATTGATAAACTAACGTATGACAATTAAATCGACATCTCATCCGTATGAATATTAACATTTTATATTTTCATCTTTTTTTGCCAATCTTCCATTACAAAAAACCAGAAACTCTTTGACTGAGTAGCAAGTCAAATTATATCAAATGTGACGCAAACAATATATTACATGATTTGTTTTGGCAAGTGAAAAATGTCGATTGCTAAATATTATTTTATCATAAATAGGTCACATACCTTTTTTGAGATAAAAAAAAACAACTGTAAAGTAATCAATCTTATTTTATCTAATCAACACTTTTTTTCGACACTGATGCGTAATAATTTCAAGTCCAGAAAACTAACACTATATATAAAAATATTTTACATCTATTTATTTTGACCAAAAAAATCACAAATAAACTGTAAAAACCTTTCCCTTGATATAAACCCATATAGCCATATACATATACAAATACACGAGCAATACTTGTGCTATACAAACACAGGCAGTCAGAACCGTGATAAATATAAAATTAAACAGTTCTTGGATATATAATCTGTATAAACTACAGAAATAAGTTATCTCGACAGGATACTATAATAGAGTCGCATTTACTCAACACCTTACAAGTCTTTTGAACAATGTTTCGTATAATAATGTATACTTAATCGAAAATTTCGATTAAGTATACAATGTGGAATGTGGAAAAGAAATATACATGTATATAAACCACGAATTCATTTTCAAAGTGAAACAGTACATTGTTTAAAAGGCAATTAGCGAGAATAACTTAACTAAATAAAAAATATGTGAGAATGTAACTCCTTCAAGAACTACGATAACAATAGTTACACGCTTATTACAACAGACTCAGTTTGATAGAGTCCCGTTCATGAGAGTAATGAACGCTGCAAACATCTCTCACGACACTTGACACAAACTTTGGCGCTATTCAAACGCTAAGGGTTATTGCAATCAGTGACGTCTGAAGGATCAGAAAATTATAACAACACTGAGGTGAAATACAGGAAAACCTTTTTACAGCTACAGCAAAACACTTAACCCTTGCTGTTGTGATTCTAAAAATATGGGAAAATATTAAATCCTCGCTCGTTTTTTTCCTTCATAAATCATATATGTAACTACATGTATGAATATGTTTTTATTTTATCACAACCGAAAATTTATCATTTTAATTATACGAACAAAATAATTATGTTACTAAAAGATTATATACGATGTATGTTTTTGGTAAGAAATGATTATTTAAAAAATGATCATGAAAATGAGTTTGTACATTGAGTCTGATCTTTCCTTTTACAAAAAAGCCCATAATTCCCTGCACCTATTCTGCCTAAAATACTGATTACTAAATATTTGAACAGTGAAACAATAACGGGCAAATTTTTTATTTACTTTAAATGTTCAAATGATTCTTTTTTATGTTTTATAAGCTGTATTAAAATATATATGGCACATTGCAATTTTATAACAAACTGCTTCAAAAGCAGTACAAGTCTTCATTCATACAGGTGAAAATAAGAACAACTAACAAACTAATTATAGCTACATCATAGCAAATGTCCTTGATGAATGAAACTAAAATCAAAAGATATTGAAATATGGAGTACTTGTTGTTTTTTTGAGTGAACTGGTTTGCTATTATGAAACTAAATATCATCGTCTATATTTTGAGTATTCGGCATTTAAGCCCGCCCCGCCAATTAATTACGTCAAAAGTTTCTAGAGCATCGCTACGTTAAAATAGAACAAAATCTTTCTCGTTGTCGTCACCAACTACTCTGGCAACCGGGTAGTTCGTTGACGTTGTACTGTGGAGTGATCTGTGCGTCGATAAGCGTTCAATGACGTCAGAAGGTAGATGTATTTCGGTTTTGGCATCGTCATATCGTCTGAAAGTAACAACACGCGCTGTTTAAAATACACAGTCCTAACAATGAATACGTTTTTGTTTTATTCAAACATGATTGGCATCTACATGTAAGTTACACAGCTGACAACTAAACTTAAGAATTGGACCTCTTTTATCTTTTCTTTTTAGAAAAAAACTTTCGAGTTTTTATCTTTAATATTACTGTTGAACTGCATACCAATATAAAAAGTTTTTTTTATCAGTAATCATTTTATACTAAAAGAGCGTTATAGCGTAAAGACATGAAAGGGGACTACCTTATTCTTATCTGTTACAATTTCGACAGTATATATTTTTAAAGTTGAAATCGAAACAAATAAAAAACAGTGAACGGGTTAAATCGTCAACACGTCTAGGGAATGAAAATTAACTCCATGCAAGAAACATTTACAAAACACTTGGCATTACATGAAAAAATTAAATGTAAATGAAGCAGAAAATAATCAATAAAATAAACAAAGTTTTTACCATTGGACCAACAATCAAACCTTAAAAACCATTTTAAACAAATAACAATAAAGGTAAATCGGTGATTTTTTATATAACGTAAAAAGGATTAAATTACAAACGCATTGACTTTTTGGTAAGCTTTTATACAATTTAATTTTAAGTTCAAATTATAGGCTAACGTAATAATTGGATACACAAAAGAGAACGTATCCCAAGAACACACGCCTTCTTAATCACTTCTCTAGTCATAGCTTGAAGATATATTTTTGTTAACCCTTTAACCTGCTAAATTTCTTACCATTTATGAACCCCTCCTTGATCAGTTTTAGGGATATACAGATGAGAATAGAAAGTACTTGAGCCAACAATTTAGAGCCATTTCATAAGGTTTGCTATGATCATATTATGGCAAAGGTCAGGACGCTTTCGGTTACAGGAGATTTAAGATTCAAATAAAATTACGAAACATTCATTGGAAAGTCATTAAACTTTACAAAAGGACAATATTTAACACACTTTAAAAAAATACAAATTTGGAAACAATACGACTGTTTGTATAAACTACCAGTCTTACACACCCAGTAAATTACAATCCAAAAGGAAACAAAAGTGATGGGATTGGGGTGATAGTGTATGAATTTAGATTAGTAATTGAGGGAAGTTGTGCACGCCGCCTATAACTCCTTTTGATTGCGTTAAAAAAAAGTTTTTCATCATTAAAACATAAACAGATTTAGGAAGAAACATGTCAGTATCTAAACAATGAAGAAAATTTTGACAGGCATTAGAAGAAATGAAAATTCAGTATTTTTACTCAAAAGATCTCAAAGTTGTTCTTTTTTATTCTTAACGCCTCTGTGATTCGAATTATGTTATACATCCTATATGTTCTTTACCCTAGTTTCCTTGTTTTGTTTCTTCAATTTTCAAAATTACGAAACCAGAAAAACGAATCATTGGTCAATAAAAGTATAGCTCATTGAACTTCATTCATACACTATTTATGTCTATGTAAAATACTTCCAGGCATTTAAGGGTTTATTGGGTTGATTTGATGGAGGGCTGGTATCTTGTACATACCTCTTGTAATTGATGCAGCAAACAATGACGATCACAAAGATGATGACAACGACAACGGCTCCAATAGAGATACCTATAATTCCCTCTAATGAAAGCTCTGGATCAGCTTCTTTTGGTGCTACCTGTGCATCTATAGATGAAACATACATATTAGTTATATCTATTAAATGCTGTTTTATAATCAACACCCGAATTTCTTAAACATTGTATTTTTTCATTTATTATTATTGTGTTGTAAATGCGAGCTTCTTGGTACTAAACAGATGCCGAAAATTTGTTTTGTTATTTTGATTTTCAATCATAAAAATAACTGTGCAAAAAAGTTCCAGTTAATTTGTCATTCTTTTTTTTGCGTATTATTTGCTAACAACATAGATTAAAAAACTTCAAGCGTAAAATCATGCTTGTGTTTTGAGTGATTTTACAAACTTATTTTAACATAACACGACGTTTACCATATAGCTAAAACATGAAAACTAAACTTACCATTATAAGTTTGCTTGCAAGTACCCAATTTTCGATCGCAAGTTAAGTTTGCACATGTTTGCAAACATCTGTTATTACACGTGTCTCCGTAAAATCCAATAATGCAAACCATCCACACATTTACCAACTTTTGAACAAGAGTTAAACAAACAATTTTCTGGACATACATACTCACAAAAAGGTCCGAAATGACCAGAAACGCAACCTCGAGTACATTCCCCGCGTCAAATTACACATTTTTCTGTCACAAAAAATGACTACACTCTGTGTCACAAAGTGTTCCAATCCATCCTTGTTTGCATCCAAACTCACAAACTCCATATGAGTTGCAGTTACCTACACAACCGATGCTACAGTTATGTTCACAATAATAACCGTATGTCCCCTTGCTTGCACATCATTGACGCATGCTCCAGATTTTTCTTACGCACTCACCATTCATGCACCCGTCACACCTTCTATCTACACACAAATCTCCGTATAAGTTTGTTTCGCATCCCAAAGAAAACAAATACCTGTGTACCTTTCGCATACATCAAAACCATTTTTATCATCTTTGCAACCTTTGCTACATTTTTTCAACGCAGGACAGCTCCTTTTTACCCCTTTCTACAATCAATGCAATAAACCCCACTATCCTGGTCACAAGACTCGCAATTCGAAGAAACAACTCTTTTGACATTTAATGCCATGAAAACCTATTTCCACAAAACCACTAGAGCAAAGTCCGTTTTGAAAACTAACATGATCCATCTAAGCAATTAGAACATGAAAATTGACATTTGTCACCATACGCGTAAGGCCAACACTCACAACTTCCATCAGAGCGATTGCAAGTTCCGTTTACACAATAACAACCTGAAACCAACGGACAATAATGTCCAATGTGAGTAAAGTTCTTAGAAATTTCTTAGGACGTAAATGATAAAACTGATTTGAAACACTGAAGCAAGGTTATAGCAACCATGGAGATTTTTGAAGTTCGTACAACAAATAAAAGCAGAAAAAGGAGATTAGCTGAAGCAAATCGGATAAAACACAAGAAATGTGGCAAGGAAAAAGGAGAACACAAACTACAGAACTTTAAAGCTAAAGTGACTGTACTATGCTGATAAGAAGTCTACTCAAGCATGATTAGCTCCCCTATGTGATTAGATCAAATGACCGTGATATTAAGGAGAGAATATTAAGCCCCTAAAATACATACCTTTCTTATTTACCTTTATATCCAGCTGCCGGTGTCACGACCTTGCAAAATCTGAAATGATTACCTTTTTGCTTCAACTTACATTTTGTTAATTAATACTTACCCTTTTTATGTTTTAGTCCATTTTAGAAGAAATCAATCGTAAAAACTGAAATGACTAAAAATTAATCGTTGGACAAATACAATACCTTGAACAGCACAATTTTTGCCTTTAGGTGAAGTCTGACAATCCGCACAATATCCCGTAAACTTATCGCATGATCCGTCTGAGCAGATTGAAAGACATTCCTTGGTACACTTGTTCCCATACACGTTAGGTGGACAATCGTTTACACAGTTTCCATTTGCTTGTTCACAGCCACCGTCTCTACACGAGTCACATCTCTGGTCGCAATTTGTATCAAAGTAATAAGGGAATGCATTTTCCCCTTGTTACATCTTCCATTTTTGCCTGTCACAAAAATTCCCTTTTGGGGCAATTTGAGCCAAATTTTCACCATTTTCCCCAGTTTCCCTCCCCTTTGTAAAACCCGCTTCACACCAAAATCGCATAAACCCATCAACTGCCTCACATTCCTTCATTTTTCTTGGGCCCAAACCCCTTTCACATGTTTGAACTTTCACTTTCTGTTTTAAAACGTATTTTTCCCCCCCAGCCCGCGCGGCAAAACCCGGGGAAAGGGAAAACCAAAACATTTTTGGGTTTTCACTGATCGCAGTTTCCGCAAGACTCCGCCATTTTAAAGGGTGTAGTTTTCCCCTTTTTTTACAAACCGTAAACAATTACCATTTGGGCCCGAAAATTTCCCTTGGCGTCCTAGGGGTTGCGTGGCACAATTAATGCTGCATGTATCACTGCATGCCGGTAAACCAAAATAATTGTCCACACAGGCTGTGCACGCACCGGTTTGAATATCACAGGTTTTACACACTGCTTTACAAGGAAGATTACATTGACTACCATACCAGCCTTCAACGCAACCTGAAACCAAACAAACTCTGTTCAGTGTATGCACTTTTTAGTTTTATATCTTATTCAAAATGTCAAACGATTAAAAATTATGTTTGCTGTTTTTGGCCGGTTTTATGTGACAAAAATCGAATACATTTCAAAGAAATATGTGCTTACAGTCCCAACTTATCTTCACTAACAGAAAATTAGATTTCATGGAAAAATTACACAAGATTAGAAATTGCTACAGATGAGTTAAAATTTTTAGTTTCACTACAATTTGTTAACTCGGCATTTTAACGTACAGATCGTCTAAGGAAAAAAATTAAGTTTTAAAAAAAATTTTCAATTTTTTAAAAATTTTTAAAAAACTGTAAAACCTTGGCCCAATTTAATCTTTAAAATATCTTTTAAAAAAGTTCACTATTTCCGACCACATATCATCTTTTATTATTTAAATTAAAACAAACATATTTTGAACTAAATACTGATTTCAGAAGAAGAATTGAATGCTTTTTTTCGATTGGTTAAGACAACATTAAGTTTATGTGAATAAACAGAGAAACAGCCAATCATTCAATCATACAGGTATATAAATGGCAAAATATCAACGCTTATAGGGTCAAAATCGTCTTACCCTGTAAACAGTTTCCATTGGCGGCATTACATTGTTTATTAAGACAATTATCACATGAATCTTCACATTTTGACCCAAATCGACCAGATTTGCATCCATTGGTACATGTTCCATCCCGCGAACAAGTGAAACTATTAAAATAAAGAAAACATAGTCTCATTTTGCCTCTTTGTTACTAAGCGAAAGTAAATGATTGTGTACCGCCGACAGAGTTAAAAAAATAAGTGAAAAATACAGACATATATATTTCACTCAACAGAACTAATCAATTGTAATATTCATTGATCAATCAGAAAATGGGGTTGAAGATAACGTTTAAAAGAACCGTATGATTTACAATATTTTAATAAATTCCATAATTACTGTTAAAGATCCTGTGTGTTGTGATCAAAGTGGTAAACCACACTAAGTGAAATTATATATATGTACATAATTATGCAAATAAAACAATTTTCAAGCATCGAAAAATATGTAAAATATGTACTGCAAATAATTGTGCATATTATATGTAATCATTAAAATATATGCATTCATTTCTTATTGTAAAATATGACTTAAACTTTATAGAAAATAAATGTTTTATAACCTCCCTTTATTTACAAGAAATGTTAAATTCGGTAATAAATTTAAAAATAATGCTTTTTGGAACCAACAATATTGATAAATCTTAATTTGAGCATCATACTTATGATTTAAAACCATAAAAAATTGTGTTACAGGATTTTTAAGCCAATTAAATTCAATTCAAAACTCATGCAAAGCAAATTTGCATTTTATTTTAATTTAATATTTACTTCTAAAATATCAAACATATGAAACTTTAAAATAACTTTCCCGTTTTAAGGTTTTCGATTTTTTTAATACCTTTTTTACATGTACAAAATCACAATTTAATTTGCAATAAGCAAGGTTTTTTTAAAAATTTATAAAAAGTCATTAAAATCAAGCGCAAAGGGTTTAAAATATATTAGAAGAAAAAAGGGTTTTCTGTCTGATAATAAAAGGGGCATTTTCCCATAAAAATTTTTACTAGGTATTACTACAAGGCTATTTAAAGTATTTTGTTTCACCTAATTTAATTGAGTGAAAAGGGCGGGTTTTTAAATAAAAAATAAAACAATTTCCTTTTCATCCCTCCCCTTTCATTTTCCCGATCGCATTTTTTAAAACCCTAAAAAAACCGACCTTTCCGTACCCTTTTCCCCCTTTTGTTTTATTTCATTTTGTCTGTTTCCCGCCGTGGTCACAATTTTCAACGGCTGGTAAAAACGCGGGGCCCAAAAAAAAAACTTTTTTTTTTAAAAAAAAATAGAACTTTATTTTTTTAAATTTTTTTTGGGGCTTTAAAGGGTGTATCATGTGTAGGGACAGAAATATTTTACATAATAAAAAACCCGACCACGTTTTTTTAAAATGCAATAAAAAAAAAAAATTATTTTTAAAAATAAAAATTTCTTTTTAATTTTTATTTATTAACATAATTTCAGCCCTTTCTCGATTGAATGTGGGCCGGGGGGTGATATGATAAATTAAATTTTAAAAATAAATTTTTTATAATTTTTTTTAAACCCTAGTATCCAAAAAAGGCCCCCCCATTTTCACATTTTTCCTGAATTCTCTTACACCGGGTTGGGCCCAAAACAAAAATTTTTTCCCGGGCATCTTTTATTTTACACGTTGGGTTTTCCCTAGAAAAGTGGCATTACAAACTGAAAAATTTAAAAACAACAAGGGTCTATGACAAAACTGAGTGCATAAACAGTACCTAATATGGCTGATGTAGTAAATGAATCTAACTTCAATGAGTCAGGTACCTGTGTTTTACCGCATATACACTATGGAGCAATGTATGATACAAACTTATGTGACTTTGTTGCTTTCCCTCACTCCAACAAGCTCAATCAAACCAAGACTGCTACATGTTTATAGCTGAGGAGTGTATTCCTTAACGTTTACATTTTTCTACGGGACTCAAAATCACAGGCAAGTTTCGATGAAACAATCGGATGCTAAATTGAAAATTAAGGTTGTTAACTCCTAATGGGCAATATAAGGAACTTAAACAAATGACACTATTGTTTAGTTAAATTCGTTAAAGGACACCTGTTTGCAACAAAAGAACAATATTTACCCGACAGAGTTGGACTTGTAGACACATTTCTGAGCTAAAACCCGATTATTAAAAAGGGCTCTTTTTCAGAAATAAGAAAACTGTTAATATGTTGAAATATCGTCACGTCATTATGTAAGTAATTTCCAATTAATTACTGTAAACAAACGAAAACACCACTCAACTTACAAACCACACGATCTAAATGATCGTTTCTACTCAAAGTGATTGAATATGTAAACAAAAACGTCACCTTAACAACCTAAAATCGATTTATTGAGGTGCGGTATTTTAAGGTTTGTCCAAAAGTAAATTGATAAGTCTTGTCAGATACATTTTTACCATGTAGTTTGAATTTATTTTCAGGTCCCAGTCTTTCTATATCATTAACATTGTTTAGCCAATAAATACCTATAATAATGACAAAATTACAATCAATCATTTTCTCTTCCTTTAAAAGATGTGAGAGATACACGAACATTGTTTAAAAAGAAAATGATGAGGTTTGAACCAGTTTTGATGAATTAATAGTTATTTAAGAACACTTAAATACCCTTCAAAGTTGAGGTAATGTATTCGGAGTATACAATCATTAGATGTACACGCATATAGTGCTGACAAATATAACAAAATGCAGTCCCGTTTATAGAATTTGATTAATATTCATATTAACTAACAAAATAGTTACCTTGGACCCGACAATTTGGTCCAACAGGATCCTTTGCACAGTCAGGACAGCCTCCTTCAGGATCACAAGTGCCATCCACACATGTATTCTTACATGGATTGTCACAGCGTGTGCCATAGTAACCTAGTTGACAACCATCATAACATTGTCCATTGCTTGGGTCACAACCACTACTTCCGGCACAATGTGTACTACACGTACCAGTACAATCGCCACCATAGAACCCATCAGCGCAACTTATATCGCAAGAGTCTTCAAAATCTGTACACAGTCGATCTTTACAACGCATGCTACATACACCTGAGCAAGTTTCACCATAAAATGTACTAATGCAACCTTTTGAGCACTTTCCATTTAAATAGCCACATACACGGTTGTTATTTTCATCTGGTAGGCAGTTGCTATTGCAAGCTTGAGTACAATCTTCCCGCCAAAATCCAACCTTGCACGCTTTTTCTGAGCAGAACCCAGTAGTCTTGTTGCAGAATAAAAGAGTATTTACTCCAATGTGAGTTCCAACACAATTTGAACTGCATATCGACTGGCATTCTGTACCCCATCGTCCAGCTGCACACGTTATGCAATCTCCGCTCTGTCGCTCGCACGATCCGCACACAGAAGAACATTGCGTCTCGCAATCGGATCCGTACCAACCGTCTTGGCAACCGGAGGAACACTCGCCATTGGCTTGGTCGCATCCTGTTCCTATCAAATGAAATTAAAAACTTTCATCTCGTCGGACATTTTTAATTCTAAAATCTCCATAAACAGTTTAAGGACTACTAGTATATCTTAATTCTAAATATGTTAATGAGAATAAAATAATTGGATTAGATTGATATTAAACGTGTAGACGGAATGCACTAAATACAACGCAAACAAATAAATACTCAAAATAATCTGGAACTTTCTCCGATGTTTTGTTTGTTTTTGGTGTGAGGTGAGGGGTAGGATGTGTACTGGTCGAAATGATCGGCACGAACAGTCAAAAGATTTTAGCTCTTCACGTAATCTTACTTAAACGAATTTATTTCACACACTTTTTAACAATGTATATGATCATATACAATGAATTTCAAGTTTCAAACAAAATAAAATTACTTTAAAATTCAAATACACCTAACAAATACTCACATTTCTATCTCTTTGTTGTGATATTTAAAGACAGTCTTTTTATATTCATATTAAAGATTTGAAGCATTGCACCCTTGGGACAAAAATGATCTAGTCTTTTTAAATTAATACCTTTTCATATCTCCATCATACTTAAGCATATTTATATAGTAAAATAGACAAATTCGTTTTTCAGTATGTTTGAATAATGAAATCATACACTTTCAGATCCATATTATATGCATAAAGCAATGTTAATGTCAAATAGTTAAATATAGTTCTTCCCTAAAGATAAAGAAGTACTATAATTTTACAAGTTGATAAAAGCAAAATATTGATCAGATATAAAAATATATGCCTAATAAGCAACATTTTAGAAACCTCGATAAAACATTTGTTTAGAATGTAACTGGATTTTGAGGGTATAATTGGACTATAATAATTAAAAGTGAAATAATTTTCGTTCGGGCTTGTTATAATTTTAGACATGGATACCTGGTTTACAGTGGGCGCACGCTAACTCGCATTTGTCTCCATAAAAACCTGCAGGACAACCCTGACAAACATCGGTATACCGTCCACACTGGTCATACAAGCAATTATCACTAGTGCAGTTTTCGCCGCAGGTATTTCCTCTTTTACCACGTGAGCACTCTGTAAAAATTCACACAATTTACTTCTGTAGTAAAATGGAAGTAAAATAAGGTTCTTCGTCTTCGCATTTACAGGAGACATTTGTGTGAATTTACATGAAATAATAAAACTAGAAGTTAGTACTTAAAATAATCTAAAGAAAAATTTGGCATCAAAGCAACATCTACGCTATATTAACACTATAACGTATAGGGATAAGTTATTACTTAAACAATTGCCTAATGACATTTTCTCACGCCGAGGACAGAATTCAATAAAACACTTTTAAATGTGTTATAAGCAGGTAAAGTTAAGCAACTATATATTCCTTAATATTATATCTAAAAAGCCAGGTACATTTACGAGACAATCTAGTTGTTTATTAATGGAAAAGCAAACACTTGTTTGTACAAGCGTAGAAGTATATTTTTTATAATGCACATTCTTATACTAAAAACATCAAAACAGAGCATAGGTGGCTTTACACGTTTTCTTCAAAAAAAAAAAATTATAACATTTTGTATTTGTTTCATAAATTGAAATGTCATTATAATTTATTTCAATATATACACTTCATTTCTAATGTTATACGCTTATTTGTCTAGCACATGTGCATACAATTCGATCACGACCCATATATAAATAAATCAATTGATGTACAAACCAGTATAACAACAAAATTTGATAAACAGATGGATTTGAAATACCTGCTGAGGGACAGTTAGGCCCAGGATCTATCGTTGAACAGTCGTCACATGTTCCTGCAAGTCGAGAACATGTTCCATCGGTACATTTAGAAACCTACAACATAATAAATGAGTAAATAATAGAAATATACATTTGATATATGTTGAATATCAAACAAAACTGTTTAAAAAATAAACATATTAACCATTAAATATTCCAATTTCGTAAATAACATATCATAGCTTTTAAATAACAAGCAATTAGTGTTGGTAAATCAGTAAATAAGTCAAAAAGGGAACCAAAACGAACACCTTTTACATCAAACCGTGATCTATTAAATTGTTGTTAATACACATGTCTATCACTTAAAGGATAAGCAGAATTTTATCTCTGATTGAAAATAGTATTCAATAAACATCCAATTGTAAAAAGGACACATGTCCATTTTAACGTAATATCACGATTTCATAAAAAGTTTTGAACTTACAGCGCTACACTGGAACTGACACTCTTCTCCATACCAGCCAACCTCACACCCTTTAAGACAATACCCAGTCCTGCAAAACAAATGGGGTTTTTCTTGTTTCTCTTAAACGCAATCTTCTTAATACGGTATCAATGAATTCATAGTATATGTAATATCCTTTCAGACCAGTCAGAACAAAGACAGACACCGAGAATAAAACATGAATAATAAGCATTATTTTGTGTTTGATAAGAGTTTTACCCAACATATCATATGCTAGATTGTAATAATAATTTTGACTTTGACTTTCAAACACATTGAACACTTTTATTTATTTTCTGTCAAGTTCCATAACATCGAAACTGCTTTTTATTTTATAAAATGTGTTTCATACCTGTTGCAGACATCGTCCACACAATTTCCATTACACGGTGAAGCGCATGTCAAGCCATAAAATTTGGAGGCGGTGCAACCATACAAACATTCTGCAGTGTCTTTGTTACAAGTTTTACTGTCACAATTGTAATTACAATCCTTCTCACAGCTGGCTCCCCACTTACCATCAATACAACCCTAGAATGTAAGGAATGTAAAGGGTAAATGTAATGGACACAATCATGTTAAAATATTTAAGCTTTCAGAAACCGTATAGTCAAATAAGTGATCTCTCTGTAACGAACTTGCGACAAAACCAAAAAAGGATATAAGATTATAAGATAAAACCATAGACAAGGCATATACTTGGCGTGTCTCAACATCCAGAACGTTAATTAGAAGAAAGCATCCAATAATTTTAATTATTTTTGAAAGAAAAATACAAAAAATGTCAACAGGCATACCTTAAATATGTACCTTTTATATGTTTGTGTGTTATTGAACAGTGTTAACAAATTAAGAAATTTTAAGTTCCGGCCATCGATATAAATAAAACACATGGAAACTAAATTTTGCACGAACAATTATGTTGTAAGTTGTCTGTGTTTTAAATTCCCTGTAAAAATAATTTGAACTGAGCATTGAACTACCCCATGAAAATTGTAATTAAATACAACTTCTAATTACCTGTCTGCAGTTAGCTTCTGTAACAACACATTCTTTGTTTTTACAGTTAGAACTGCATTCTGCATTACATCTTTGGCCATACCAACCTTATAAAATACAATAATTCTAAAATATAAAAAAATGTACTAATCTCAAGCTAACAAAACATTTGTAATAGGTAAAACATATCTATTGTAACAAAAAATATATGTATATGTTTTTTGTTTTTTGTTTTTGCAGTATCATCATCTCTCAATACGATTTTCTGGTTGGGTTTTACGTCCTATCAACACAGTATAGGTTATATCGCGACAGTCCAACTTTACGGGTTGGTGAAAACTTAAGTTTCCCCTCCGTGCGTTATTTCAGGCATGAATGGGCACCTGAGTAGAACTACCAACGCTCCGAAGGTTACAGGATAGCTTCCTCACTTGAAAGAGTTCGAAGTTCTTGTCGGGATTCGAAGCCACAGCGGTGAGAGGCAAATGATTTGAAGTCAACGACCTTAAACACTCGGTCACAGACGCATCTAGCTTTTACTACAACATCTTGATATACAGATATATTGGAAAGTTAATGTGGCAATTTGAGAGACATATTGTCGTGCAATTAATAAGAGAATAAAGACAATTAAAAATAATACTGTAGACTATTTCGTTTTATATATTTTCTTATATTTGTAACATGTACCTGTCACTCACGAATATGTTTCTAAATGTATTTAGACATTATCGGTACTTTCATTTGATAAAAAGTAGAGCAATCTTTCTTAAACATTTTATTCCAAACATTTCTCACTTTCAATACTTGCTTAATCACCATTTTAATAGATTTATTCAGCTTAAGTTTTCAACCCGAAATGATCACAATGTTTTTTTTTAATAGAATAATTTTAGAAACATACCATTTAAACAAGGTGAACATGTTCCGGCGTCTATATCACATGACACATCTTTACAGTATTGGCTACATCTTTCAGTGCATTGCGCAGTGAAATATCCAACTTGGCAAACTTTAGTATCGCATTCTCCGGAAAACCGGTTGCATGTGATAATACCATTACTATTGGCTTGGCATGTAGCAGCACAATCTAATGAACAATTTGTTCCATACTTTCCGGTTTTGCACGATATACATTCTCCGCTGGTTAGGTCACATTCATTGCACCCAGGATGCTTACATTCCGTCGAGCAGGTAAGTTTGTACCAACCTGGATCACACTTATCGATGCAAATACCGTCGCTTTGATAGCATGTGTCTGTGCCACAGTGAGGACAATCAGAGTCACAAATTCTGCCGAACTTCTGCGGTAGGCATGAACTACACGACCCGTCTTCTCGCGAGCAAGTACCATCTGCGCAATAACGTGAGCAATCAAATTCACAAAATACACCCCACTTGTTTATAGGACTACATGCTGAAATAATAGAATACATTCCAAATTGTTAATTTTTTAACAGTACTGCAGCAAATTTAATACCCAACACCAAACAAGCAAATATAAGCAGCTACTGCGCATGTGTAAGCAAAGCTTTTTATGCAAAATTTAAAATCATTCAATCTGGTCACTAAAATGTTTCTAATGTGAAATGAATCTATTTCTATGACATGGTCGATTGCAAATTATAACACTTTTAATGTAAACTAAACATTGATTTAATATAAATGAGATAAACTGATGCAAAATGGATATAACTTTGTATTCAGATATTTGTGACACAATATGTTACTGCATTGGCTAGAATCAATATCTTTCTTAAAATTGTATTGCTTTAACTGACAGTAAGCTGACTAAAGGTGATGATCTAATCAGGACACACTATCAATAACGATACATCTTCAAAAACTAAAAGCGGTTATGAAGTGTCAATTAGTTCAGTAAGAACGTGGAATAATTTCACAATGGTTATTTAAGAATGTGAGTAACAATCAAAAGTGAGGTAAGAAAAGAAACAAAACATAAAATGGAAAATGATAACAGAACAATAAAAAAGCTTCTAATGGATTAATGAATCATTGATTATGTATGTAAATGATAATCTAATTTTCTAAGGCATTTACTCTGTTAATAGAAGGGAATACTTAAATCGGGCTGATAACTGGTTTGATTTTCATCTATATATCTATCTTAATGTACTAAGAGAATTTCTTGATTTGTTTCTCAAATATCTGTACCTGCAGTTCTGCATAGAGGTCTGGGATTTTCCGTTAAACATTCCAAGCACGTGCCTTCACTTTGGTCACATGTGCCATCATTGCATGTGAGTTCAATTTGGCACTGCGACTGACAGGTAGCACCCCAATATCCTTCAAGACATCCTTCGACACATTGCCCTGTTCTGTTACAATTCTGGTTAACGCAATTGATTGGACACGCCTGACTGCACTGCGGTCCATACCAAGTTTTATCACAATCGTCTACGTCACATATTCCTGTGTCAATGTCACATGTTCGATATCCTAAGCTACTTATACCACAATGGTTGTTGCAAACATTGCGACATTCTCTTCCATAATACCCAGGCAAACAGGTATTTTCTGCACAGACGGCGGTAAACCTCTCACATTTCACACTTCCATCAAGTTGACTTGGTGAGCAAAATTCACTACAATTGGAGTCGCAGTTGTTTCCCCATAACTTTTCTTTGCAAGAAGAACACTCACCAGAAGATACACTGCACTTCAGACAGCCATTGTGTTTGCAAGGCAAAGTACAAGTTGAAGTATAAAACCCATCATCACATCCGTTGATGCATACGCCTGTTTCTTGAATACAATTGTCGCCTTTGCAGTTTCCACATTGGATGTCGCATTCATTTCCGTAGAAGTCGGTTATACAGGAATCACATTTCTTATCATACCGGTCGCACACCATATCTTTGCAGTTTTGTGGACATGTGTTATTACAAAACAAACCATGAAATGGGGCGTCACATGCTGAAAACAAACACCGCTTTCCGGTTGATATGCCATTTCGAAACATCCATTTTATATATATATATATAACATAAAGAAAGCTAGAGAAAAATGAGTTCTGACCAAAGATACCTTTTCAAAATGTAGGTATCAGTAACTGAACTGCAGAATGATGATGCAAAGGAACACAAACAACATATTAACTTAGATATCATTAAATCACAGAAGACATATTCTTTACACACATCAAGATAATGGATAACTAATAAGATAAGGTAATTTTTATTTCATTGTTGCAGATTTAAAAATGAGTTTCTAGTTCTTTTAAAAACAAATCATAACCCATGTAAACAAGCGCAAAAAGTTTAGTGTCAATCAATTTTCTTTTTTTCTAATTAAATCAAACACCATATTATTCCATTAATACTTTGATATCAAATCTAAAAAAATATTAGAAATATTAGTTCAGTCTTTTTAAACAACGGTTAGTGAAAACACTATTTCTTTTTTTCCTGATAAAAAAAATTAAAGAAAGAAGTACCATGCACCAAAGACGTGCTCATGCGAAATGAGAAAGCAATAAATCTGTAACACTTAGTGGTAAACGATACATTCATTTCGTTTACCGCCCATTACAAATATTAGAACCAAACATATTCCTACATGCGAGTCCAAAACATTCACTATTTTGCCAATTTAGTCATTCTTTTACCTGCATCTCTGCAGAGTCTAGTCTTAGGCTCCAAACAGTCCAAGCAATATCCTTCAATTCCATCACAATTGTCATTGATACAAGTAGAAATACATTCCTTTTCACAGAACTGACCAAATGTATTGATAACACAACCTTCTATACAGGTACCATCACGTTTACAGGTGTGGTTTATACCCGCACATGAGCTACTACAAGCAAGATCACAGGTCTCACCATACCATCCATTGGTACACCCGTGTTCGCAATAGCCCGTGGAAAAGTCACAATAAATCTGCCCATTTGTATCACTATGCCGGCAATTGGTATGGCACTCCTTTATACATTTGTCTCCATAATAACCCGGTGTACATTGACTTTCATGACAAAATCCGTTGTCTTTTGCGCAGTAAGTATTACCATCAAGCGATTTAGCACAATACTGGCTACATGATATATCACACTGTATCCCATATAGTCCAGGAAGACAGTCAACGCATTCACCGGAAACACGTGTACAAGTTTTGCATCCGGGATATTTACATTTCGTTCCACATGTGTCAGTATAAAACCCGTCTCTGCATCTTTCCTCACAGTGACCATTGAACTGATTGCAGTTTCCAATAAGGCAGTTTTTGCTGCAAACTTCTTGGCATGTGACACCATGGAAACCATCAATACAACCAAGACACTCCCTTTCTAATCGTTTACATGCCTCTTTGCAGGTCAAAGGGCATGTTTCATTGCAAAAAAGACCAAATTTTCCAACGCGGCAATCTGTAATTCGTTTTAGGTTGTATGAAACAAGTATTATTTTAAAAACATATTATTTTGAAAATTATTGAATGAACATGATCTATCTATATTCAATCTACCAATCGCTCGCATCAGCTAAGCAAGTGATCAAACAGCTGAAACAGTGTCGTTCTTTAAAGCGTTGTCTTACATTGATTAGCAAATGTTTTGAACAGCGACTGAAAACAAAGCACAAGAAAGGTAATACTCTCGTACATAAATCCTCCAAGACATATTGTATGTCTTAGATAGAAAACAAAACCATTCCGTGCTTGCAAATGCTTTCTTTATTTAAACAAACATTAATGAAAACACACAAGTGCTACTATGTTCCCATGCAATTTGCATATAAAACAGTTATACCAAGAAAAACATATTATATACATCAAACGTGAAAGTAGAGAAATGACTTTTCATGCAGTAATAATGAAATATTAACAGAGCAAGGGAGATAGACAAAAAGAAAAAAGAACGTTGATTAAGGAATTTTGATACATGATAATGTGTATAAATGTGCTCCCATTCAATGATGCAGTAGATGCCAATGATTGCTACAACGATTACCTGCGCTTCTACACAGTGGACTCTGTTCTTCGACGGGCTTTAAGCACTCCGTGCAAATTCCAGTTTCTCTATCACATTTACCATTGTTACATGTACTAGCACATGTTTCCGTACAATAAATCCCATAAAAGCCCGGCAAACATCCGAGCTGATCATCACAACGACCGTTTCTATAACAAATGTCATCAACACAGAAACTGCTACATTTAATATTGCAGATATCACCGTACCATCCATCTTTGCAGCCATCATCACATTCACCATCATAAAAATCACAACTACCTTTAAGAGAGGATTGTTCATCTGAAGGAAGGCAGTTTGCACTGCACTCATTTCTGCACTGTGGAGAATAATATCCTACCACACAAGCAGGTATATTGCAATTGCTTGTATCCTTATCACAATATATCAGTCCTGTGTTGTTAGGCAGGCAGGCGGTACTGCAATTACTTTCACAATTTTCACCCCATAATCCTTGTTTGCATGTAGCGCAATTCCCGTTGGATCGATCACAAGACTCACAACCATCAAATATACATCTTTGATCACAACGTGGTCCGTAGAAACCATCATCACACTCTGAAACACATGTTCCGTCACTCTGAAAACAAGTGATACCCTTACAGTTTCCACATTCTTGGTCACAAAAATCGCTCCAATAACCTGCTACACATGAATCGCAAACTGCACTATATCTTACACAAGTTGAATCGCAATTGTCAGGACAAGATATGTTACAATACAATCCATTGAAGTAGACGTCAGATATTGGTGGACACTCTGAAAAAAATTAAATAATAATAATTAAACAGTGTATTCTAGATTCAGTTTAATGATTTTATATGCTCTAGGTTTAAAACTGATCAATACCAACAACCAATTGTAATATATTTTTGTAGGTTAATATGAGATTGAAAGCGTTAGTAGTATTCAGAAATACAACCTGGACCTGCAAGTGTATATTTCAAAAGTATGTGGGAGAACAGAAAAGTGCAATATCAAATTTAAAAAGTACGTTGATAAAGAAATGTCTATAGAAAAGTTTTTTTGTCGCGAGTACTGTGTTTGATATAAAATATAACCAGACATGAACAACAAGTAAATCCAGATGCAATATTGGAGACTAGTTCTCCTAAATGAGAAATCAAAGGTATCACAAGAGACAATTAAGCCTATGATAATATATTGTTACACATACCGGCATCTCTGCATAGTGGTGTTTGTTCTTCTGACACCTTACGACACTCATCACATATTCCGTCATCCCTATGACATGTATCGTCATTGCACGTGGTCTTACAGTTAGTTCCACAGTCAAATCCATAATATTCTTTAATGCATCCAAGATTTCTTAAACATTCCCCATTTCTCTCGCAAATTCCCCCGACGCAATTATGGTTACAAGAATAGTTGCAGAAGTTGCCATAAAACCCGTCTTTACACCCATCTCGACAATAACCATTGAGAAAGTCGCAATGTCTGTCACCGAGTGAGTCTTCTTTACAATTTTCATGACATTCTAACATGCAGTCCTCCGAATAATATCCTGGAACACAAGCCCGGATTCTGCAATCTCCATTTACTTTGTCGCAGTAGACAAAACCGTCAGCTGATGCGATGCAAGCAGTACTGCACGACTCGCTGCAATCTTTTGTCCAAAGCCCTGCTTTACATTCGTCGCACTCTCCGCTAGATCTATTGCATGATAGACACCCGATGTGATTGCAGCTAACAGTACAGTTGTCCCCGTAGTAACCATTAGTGCATGGAGATAAACACGTTCCAGTTACCTGATCACAAAAAGGTTCGGAACAAGATCCGCAATCAAATTCACAGGTTTGTCCGAAGAATCCCGATTTGCACGAAATGCATGTGCCGTTATAGCGATCACATTTATCGAAACATGTTTCAGAGCAATTAACGTTGCACAAAAGTCCGGTTTTTCCACTAGGACATTCTGCAAATTATTTTCGTTTCCATTCATTATTTCAATTTTATTATTTACATGGATGACAGCCATATATATTACAATTTTTATAAATATTGAATAAGTTAAAGCTTTTGGGCAAATAAAATGGCTAAACATGTTGTTGGCACAGCACTGGGATATACGATTGTTTTTGGAATTCAGGACAAATATGATAAAGATAAGGACAAATATGGAAAAAAAATCATTTATCGATAGACACTTCAAAATAGGAAAATTTTGCGACCATTCTTATTCTTATTTGAGGAAAGGTGAAATAAAATAAATGGCAATGTTGATAGAAATAAAATAAAACAGAACAAAACAAATATAGCAAGCCATCAGAGAAGCAAATATAAAGTGATTGTTATTTATGATTCTATGCTACGACATCCTAAACTAGCTTTGTCAGTGAAGCTATACATCTTGAAGAAGCAAGCTAAAATAACCGTCAGGCACACTGAAGATACTGTTAAGTGTTGCCGGCAAAGCCCAAAACGTTCGTCTACAGTAAAACTTAGTTATGCCAATCTTCAATGAAACTTCTAAACTCAGTAAATTTAAGACCTTATGATTAAACACAATAATAATAAAATAGCTGGTTTTCATTACACAGATTCTTTATCCTAAATTTGAAAAATTTAAGAATGCGTTCAAATTATCAAATGCTACATAATTATTTTTAACTATAAGATAAAGTTCTTTTCGTTTCTACGAGCAACATTATTACAACATTATTACGTACTGTCTTGTAAATTGCAATCTTCTAATTCGAAGCTCTCTATACAAGACAAACTTACCCGAAGCTATCAAAATGCAGGAAAACAACTGATTTGCAGTTCAAATTTAAATGTTAAAAAATATTTTCTTTATCTTGGTTTTATCTCAGGGGCATTGTGTCAATTGTTACGTTAAAGAAACCAAATAAATCAGTAAACAAATGGTTGAAATAAATATTGCAACTATTGACTATGAGCATAAAAAATAACCATGAACTACCTAGCATGCCTTGATATATGTACACTTACCAGCCGTTCTGCAAAGAGAGGTTTGTGCCTCAGGCGGTTTGTTACACTCTTCACATTCACCAGAAACTTGATCACATTTTCCATTATTACAAGTTTCCTTGCAAGTAAGTTCACATGTGTCGCCATAAGTACCATCTATACAACCTAAAGAACATTTCCCATCCCGTTCACACAACTTATTAATACAAGTAGCACTGCAATTTAAGCTACAATGTCCACCATAATAAGTATCTTCGCATCCGAGGTTACAGTCACCTTCTAGATAAGAACATGTTCTTGCTCCCTCCGAATTAGTTCGACAGTTTTTGTTACACTGGGCATCACAAGGCCGATTCCAAAACCCCGGAAGGCAAGCTCCTTCATCGCAGTTTCCTGTATCTTTTCCGCATGTTACTTGGTTAAACGAATTAACTGAACATTTATCACTGCAATTTAAATTACAAGTTAAACCATAGTATCCTACATCACACGTCTCACACTGGCCATCTCCTTGGAAACATGTATTGCAATTTTCATGCAAGCATCTTTGATTGCAAAACATATTCCAAAACCCTGCTCTACAAACATCGTTAGTCGAACATAAGCCGGTTTTCTGGTCACATTTTCCAGTGCTACACTGTCCGCACTCTGAATCACAATTATTTCCGTGAAAACCTGGTTTACATTCGAAACAAGTTCCATTGTACCGTCCGCACGTTGATAAACAATTAGGTAGGCAATCAGCTTGACAGAACTGTCCGTATTTTCCGACAGGACATGCTGTAAAGTAAAACAAAATATTGATAATAAATGTCGAGTACAAATGTTTGATAGTACATTAACGTCATTAAAATTAAATTAACAATTTATTTCAGTGTTTAACTTCTCATAAATAAAACTAAGTGCCGTTTAGTATGATTCCAACCACTTGTGTTAAAGAATTACCAAAACCTCAACAAAATTTTAAGACAACCAGAATCAATATATAGTGCAACCTTTATTACGAAACTATTAATGGAAAACGAACAACACACACCACAACATTAAATACACTGTAAATGAAATTAAGTTATCATGAATGAAAATAATGAGTAAAATGATTACCGGCATCTCTGCAATAATACAACTCCCGTCCTGTATTAGCATTGGGCTGACACTCAATGCAATCACCGCGTATCTTATCACATTTGGAGTCTATACATGTCGAAGCACAAGGTGCGGAACAAGTTTCATTAAAAAATCCCGGTTGGCAAGAGCTGTCGCACGCGCCGGATTTATCATCGCATCCGCCGCCAACACAATTTTGAGGGCATGGAGTTAAACAGTCATTCCCATAATAGCCAAATACGCATCCCTGTTTACAGTCCGTTGCCGATCCCTGACAATCTTTATTCAAACATTTGTCACTACATTTCTCTTCACAGTAAAAGCCGTAATAACCTATGTCACAACCATCACTACAGATACCTGTATTCCATTCGCAATTATTAACACCGTCACCAGAATCAAAACACGTTGGATTACAACTATGTTCACACGTTCTGCCATGGTACCCTGCAACGCACGCTGATGTAATACAGTCAGCATTATCTTTTCTGCAATAAACTATTCCATCTGAAGATGCAGTGCAAAAGCCACAATCTAGGTCACAGTCTGTGCCATGTTTCCCTGCAATGCAGCTGATACACTTTCCGGATGACTGCTCACATTCAGAGCAACCGCTACCAGAGGGACATGTCTGCTCACATTTATCTCCCCAATAGCCAGGTTTACATTTTGAACATCTCGCTGTGTATCGGTCGCAAACCAATGTACAGCCGGGTGAGCAAGACAGATCACAGGCTTGACCGTACTTTCCAACTTGACATTCTTGAAAATCAAAGTGATACAATGAAAAACTGATAAAGTTAAATATTTCTAATAAGTTATGGTTCTGTAATAATGTTTTTCCTTATATGAAAGTTTAAAAACTTGCAAGCGTAAACTAAACTATACCAGCGAAGCTTGTTTAAATACTGCATTCTGATCTATCTGCATAAATCTACAAGATGACACTAAAATAAAGATGAAATAAAAAATCGCAAATTGTACCTGCATCTGGGCAATTGAAATTAGGCTGGTCTTTGAAACACTCGGCGCAAACACCGTCAACTCGATCGCAAGTATTATCATAGCAAAATGAGTCACATCCAATATTGCATTGCGGACCGTAAAATTTCTCGGAGCAATTAAAATCACACGCGCCACTAATTATATTACATGTGCCAATTGTCGCTAAGGGACTACTTTTACAATTTACATTACACGTTCTTGAGCAGCCGGGACTCCAAAATCCTGGAGCACATTGACCTGAATCACAAGACCCACTGTGCAGGTCACATGATATAGAACCACCTACAGATACACAATGTGAGCTACAATTAAGAGTACATAGGTCACCATATTTTCCTATCGGACATTCAGTACATAATCCAGATCCCTGATCACATGTTATGCATGTATCACAAGTCTGTTGACAATATGATCCGTAATTTCCGTCAATACAACCATCATCACATTTTCCATCAATCTGTTGACACGTGCTTCCTTGCCGACATGAGTCACATGACTGTAAACAAAGGTCTCCATGGCGTCCTGTGATACACCCAGCACATTTTCCGTTGTATCTGTCACATACTCTATTTTTGCAGAAACTACTTTCACAGGGAATTGTGCAGTCTAAGCCCCTGAAGCCTGGTGTGCATGCTGAAATAAACAAGAGGGCCATGATGGCCCTGAGGTCGCTCACCTGTATATAGCCCCCCCCCCCCGGCCCAATTTTTACCCAAGGGCTTTTATTTGTTTATTTGAACAGACTTGGTAGACACCCATAAGAAGATGTTTCATGCAAAACATCTAAGTTCTAGCTCATTGGGTTTTTTAAAAGAAGATTTTTTAAGTTTTTACTATACACATAGAGTAAAAAACAATGACACCCCTCGGGCAGGGCCAGTTTTGACCCCTGGACTTTTATTTGAACAAACTTTGTAGATATTTACTTAAAGATGTTTCATGCTTAATATCTAAACTCTAGTTATTTGGGTTTTTTCAAAGAAGATTTTTAAGTTTTTGCTATGTATATAAGGAAAATCAATGACCCCCGGGGCGGGGCCAGTTTTGACCCCAGGGCTTTTATTTGAACATACTTGGTAGACACCCATTCGAACATGTCTCATGCTAAATATCTTAGCTCTAGCTCTTTGGGTTCTTTAAAAGAAGATTTTATAAGTTTTTACTATATGCATATAAGGAAAATCAATGACCCTGGGAGGGGCCAATTTGGACCCCAGGGGTTTTATTTGAACAAACTTGGTAGACATTCACTAGAAGATGTTTCATGCCAAATATATAAGCTTTAGCTCTTACAGTTCTTTAAAAGAAGATTTTTTAAGTTTTTACTATATGCATATAGGGAAAATCAATGACCCCCTGGGGCGGGGCCAATTTTGACCCCAGGGCTTTTATTTGAACAAACTTGGTAGACATTTACTAGAAGATGTTTTATGCCAAATATCTAAGCTCTAGCTCTTACGGTTCTTTAAAAGAAGATTTTTTAAGTTTAAACTATATGCATATAGGGAAAATCAATTACCCCCCAGGGCGGGGCCAATTTTGACCCCAGGGCTTTTATTTGAACAAACTTGGTAGACATTCACTAGAAGATGTTTCATGCCAAATATCTAAGCTCTAGCTCTTTGGGTTCTTTAAAGAAGATTTTTTAAGTTTTACTTTATGCATATAGGGAAAATCAATGACCCCCTGGGGCGGGCCAATTTTGACCCCAGGGCTTTTATTTGAACAAACTTGGTAGACACTCACTAGAAGATGTTCCATGCCAAAATCTTAGCTCTAGCTCTTACAGTTCTTTAAAAGAAGATCTTTTAAGTTTTTACTATATGCATATAGGGAAAATCAATGACCCCCCGGGGGCGGGGCCAATTTTGACCCCAGGGCTTTTATTTGAACAAACTTGGTAGACACTCATTAGAAGATGTTTCATGCCAAATATCTAAGCTCTAGCTCTTAGGGTTGTTTAAAAGAAGATATTTAAAGATTTTTCTTTCGGTTGCCATGGCAACCAGAGTTCTGCATGGAATTAAATTCTTTGAACAATTTTTAAAGGTGACCACCAAAGGAACATTCCTGTGAAGTTTGGATGAAATTGGCTCAGTGGTTTATGAGGAGATGTCATTTAAAGCAAAAGTTTACGGACGGACGACGGACGACGGACGGACGACAGACGGACGGACGGACGGACGCCGGACGAAAAGCGATCACAAAAGCTCACCCTGTCACTTTGTGACAGGTGAGCTAAAAATAACAAAATGTGAACAATAAACAGTTTTCATCTTTTTTCCTGCAAATTGTCCTTCACCGGCTATTATTATCATCATCACGCAATCATGTTAAAAATGTCTGTTAAAAGCAAACTCGATTACTGAAAAATAAACACTCTTTATACAAGAACAATGTTGATTAACTGATGCAAATACCGTTAATGTATCAGATACCAATCTATTAGATAGCATTGATGGTCTTACTGTAATGCATTGATATTAAATAATCTACTTTCACTAACATTGATCGAATTATGATATTTATTATCACCGCCTGAGAAAACATTTATAAGGTTAGAGGACTTAAAACAATTAAATCGGAAAACCTTTAGAAATTAACACAGTTGCTAATTTGATTTGTTTTGATTGAGCTGTTCATGGACAGGAGTTATCTACGCGCGCTAACAGACATGCCTTTCGAAATCAATATTTACGTAAGAAATGGATAAATCATGCCTGTAGATTCAGATTCTGAACAGACAAACCACAGACCATCATTGTTCAGACAATTCATCTTATCTGATCTGTTTCTTCCATTTTGCTTTGAAAAAGTTAACATGTGATTATATATTGCTATCAAAACTTGTCTTGTTCCAAAGGACATTTAATTCAAGGAGAAAAAATATAGAGCTGACTGATTAAATGTGCTTTTAAAATTATCTTCACAATTAAATTATCAGTTATTTAAATTTATTGAATTCAAGTACAACAACAAAATTTCAAACATTGAATTTATATCTCAATTAATAATTTATTAACAAGAAAGAAGATGTCACATATTAAACTAAAAATGAATATATTTAAAACCGGATAGAGCCAAATACTTCTATTTACTGAAATTTAATAGCTATATTGAACTATATTGTACATATTTTACACCAAAACAAATAACAAAGCCTGACAATAATCATTGTTTCATTGATTCAAATTGTATTAATGGTGATACTTATGCTAGTATTCAACAAATAAAGATTGTGTAATATCCACATAACAATTGTGATATATTGAACAAATATTTGTTAAATTCATAATTATATTTCAGCTATTGTTTTATAACAACTATGATTAAAACGGACATATGACAATTACTGGAAGTCATGAAAAACAAAATATCTAAACTTCAGAACATTTACCTGCTGTTCGACAAAGTGGTCCAGGTCTTGCTTGGGTACATTCGGCACATATTCCACTAATGCGGTCACAACTGTCATCAGTGCACGTAGTATTACATGGTTTATCACATTTGTCGCCATACCAGCCATGGTCACAACTGTCTGTACATCGACCTGCGTCATCGCATCTGTCAGTAAAACAGTGTTCACTACACGGAAAGTCACAATATTCTCCGTAATATTCATCAACGCATCCATTTAAACAGTTATTGTACGATATGTTACAATTTCTATTAAGACATGTTTCGCTACAGATTCCGTTACATACTGAACCATAACGACCAATTTCGCAACCATGGAGACATTTGCCAGAAACAAAATCGCATTCGTGAAGAAAACAGAAATCGTTACACGATGCTTCACATGTTGAGGTAAAGAACCCAACGTTACACCGACCTTCATTACAGTAACCCTCATTCTTACTGCATGTTATTTCCCCGTTCGAAGAAGGAACACAATTTTTACTGCAGTTAAATTCGCACGATGCTCCATATGTTCCTGTGTTACATATCTCACAACTTCCTGTTACACGATTGCAGACAGTGCATCGGTTATGGCACATTTGAGTGCACTTTGGACCATAAAATCCACTGACACAGTCTTCAATACATACACCATCTTCTTGTTGGCAATTTCCATTTACACATCCACTGCAGTTTCTGTCACAGCGTTGTCCGTAATAGCCTGGGATACACCCTAAACATTCAGAGGTGTATCTGTCACATAAATTCTCTTTGCAGAGACTGCCACCTGGACAAGTTCCGTTACAATACTGTCCAAACTTTCCGACTGCGCAATCTAAATACAAGTAAATACAAAAATAAAGCTGTACTAAAAATCATCCTTACCCAACTGTTAATTTAAAAAGGGATAGTAACCAATGACATCATCTTAATTCAAGATAAATCACTTTAAAATAAAGATAATACCGTCTACCAAGTAATTTAATCTCATATCCATCCCATAGAATATTAAGATAAATATCAAAAATGGAGTACAATTTATGATGTATGAGTTAGTATCATGAAAGACATACATGTATATGATGTCATTTTTGAATAATGATAAATGAAAATATACCGAGTTGGAAAGACAAAATGAAATGTGTTAAACGGTTATTTTATCATACAAATATGAATCAATTGTTAAAACATTTACAACACAACTACACAGCCTTGAAACATCAGAGGAAATTGGTGACCAATTTGAATGGCAAAATAATTAACTACAAAAAGTTGTACTGATGTTTTCTTTATAATTTAGAAAGTATAAGCGAAGTTTAAGTTGGAGTGCTCAACTTTATAGAACATGCTAAATTGCGTCTAAATCTGCCTTATATCGTAAGACGGTATAGTTTCAAGCGAAAGAGAAATAAAAAACTTCAAGGGAAAACATAAATTTCCAAAAGTATATAGATCTACGTTTTCTAAAATTGTTGAATTAAGACTTAAATGAGACGTCTAGACCAAAATCTTCAAAATTGTATTATTTCAATATTGCAAAATTGTATTCGATTAAAAAATTAAAACATAGCAGAAAGCATGCACATTTACCAGCTGAGCGACACAAATAGCTTTTAGGTTCCGTGTAACAAGCATTACAACGGCCCGACGCCCTGTCACATGTCTTGTCGATACAATTTTCCAAGCATTCCTTTTCACATTTATCCCCGAAACGCCCTTGAACACAACCATTAGTACAATGCCCTGTGACGTCATCACATGCCTTGTCAGCGCAAGCAAAGTCGCACGCAAAATCACAAGTATTTCCCCAAAAATCGTTGATACATCCTTCAACGCATGAGTTATAGAATTCCTTACAATTTCTGTTTTTGCATTGAACGCTACACGTTCTTGTGCAGTCTGGGAAGTAAAAGCCAGTTTTGCATCCATGACTGCATTTACCGTCTTCTATGCCGCAACTTAAGACACCTAACTCATCTGACATGCAATTGTCGCTACACATTGTTTTACAATTTTTCCCATAATAGCCAGGACTACAGATACCTTCATCACAGAACCCAGTTCCTTTTGAACATCGTATCAAACCATCAATGGAAGCCATACAATGGGAGCTACAGTTGAAAGTGCAATAATCCCCACCAAAAGTCCCAGCCTCACACTGCTCACAAGCACCGATCAAGTTATCACATTTTTCGCATCTACCGTAGCATTCATGATTACAGAATTGTCCAAAATAACCATTGCTGCATCCCTCTAGGCATATTCCATTCTTCTGGGAACAATTTCCATGCCGGCAGTTAGGACATTCTGACCCACAATTATCGCCATATTTCCCCGATAAACAACCAGAGCATATACCGCTATCTCTGTCACACTTATTGTCGAGGCAGAGTGCAGCATCTCCTCTACATGTTTCATTACAAAATAAACCATACCACCCACGGAGACAACCTAAAAATTACATAGACAAATAATTCCATTTTACCCAATGACTTTTTCTCATTTTAGTTGAAAGTTTTTATTAAGGGAATTAACTGTTACTTCATTTCAATATGGTGGCATTCTATTAAATCAAAGTGCAGATCCATGCAGTTAACATTTATTTTATCAAGCACCACAGGATTAAATGTATAACACATATTCAAACCTTCTTTATATTAGTTACTTTTAGTGAAACTCGTGAAAATAACGATTAAATATTCAAACTTGCTAAGAAGGTATTGTTTCCTTTCGCAGTATTGTTTTCATTTTTTCATCATCGCTTTTGTACACTTTTATCTACTCCCTTTTGTCAACATCATTTGATCCAACTGGTAACAAGTTTCCTTATAAATACCTCCATTTACGTGTCCATACAAAGAAAACAAAGACAACAGATAAAATATAAGCCAGATAAAAATGAGTGGTGTCCCTTTAATCTCGACAAGAAAAACAAGAAGTGAATATAAGCCAGATAATTATAACGCAAATTAAATTTTACGAAATACAATAAACATTTCAACCAAATTTTAACTGAAGACATAACGAGTAGCAGAGCTGATTTAATAATTATTCAAAGCGTAAAAGGTGTGAATTAATAAATGGGTTTGAAAATGAAAATGTGATGACACGATAAATGAACAGCAACCTAAACACATTACCAGCATCTCTGCATTGAAAACTGGGATCCGCTTCGTCACATATTTTGCAATATCCTAACTGTCTGTCGCATGTCATGTCAATACAAGTATTTTCTAGATTGCAAGGTTGGTCGCACATGTCCCCGAAATACCCGACTTCACAACCAAATGTACATTTGCCATTATTATCGAAACATGTTTTGCGTATGCAGTGTTCGTTACATGATATATTACAACTAGGAAATCCGTAATAAGTATCAATACACCCAACAGTGCAGTTATTAGCACTGTCATGACATTCTTTTGTTAGACATGTTTCACTGCAAACACCGGAACATGATCGACCATAATATCCAATAAAACATCCACTTAAACAATATCCGGTTTCCAATTCACATTCGGCGATGCCATTGAAATTCAGAGCGCAATTTCTGTTGCATTGTAGCCTACATGTATGATCATAATAGCCAGACAAGCATGATCCGGATGTACAAAATCCATTATTCCTAGAACAGGTGATATATCCAGTTTCTTCGATTTGGCAATTGGGACTGCAATCATTTTCACAAGTATCGCCGTATGTACCAATGTCACAAATGTTGCATTCACCAGTTTCTCTATTACATTTTAAACATCTGGAATGACATGGTTTGTTACATTTCGGCCCATAGAAGCGATTTTGACAATCAATAGTGCATACTCCATCAATTTGCTGGCACATGTCGTCTAAACAATTAAGACAAGACGAGTTACAATGTAAACCCCACCTTGAAGGTACACATTTGCTGCAGTACCCCGTGTATCTATCACATACCCCAGCAAGACAGTCCGTTGATCCAGGGCAGGTCAAGTTGCAAAATTGTCCATACGATCCGCTAGCACAAGCTGTAATTAAGCAGACAAAGCTTATACGTATTGTTTACTGGCAACATTTTCCAGCGAGCATTTGTATGTGTTTAATAATAGACGGTTACAACCATATACTAATTATTTAATGACCAGTTTAGTAGATGCATACTGTTTCAACTATGTTACCAATGCTTTTAACAAGGTGTATGCAAATTTATGTTGATAATCGGCCTGTTTATGCTGGTAAGAAATAGTTCGGTTGTTTATTAAAGGAACATAAACTCAAACATAAATAAAAAAAGAACTTTAGAGTTGTCTATCATAATGCCTCTCATCCCAAAACAAGACAAACTTGCCATGTTAAAGTGAATAAGGCTATGATCATATGTTTGTTAAAAGAAGTTGGAGTAATTGACAATAATAAAAAAGATAACACTAATTTATGTAATAAAGGTTGAATAAATAGCATCAGCTCTTATTACACTAATCCAGACATCAATGTTTCAACGATCCACGAAACTCGTTGTAAAAATTTCATTGGGTATATGTAGCAATCATTTATACCGCTGAATTCATCTATATAAAAACATTGAATCAAAAGTTCAACCTAGGCATTGTTTGTGAAATAAGAATTATATCATATCGGTTAAGTTAGGATATACAATATTGTTACCTTCAGTTCGGGAATTCCACAAAGGTAAACATCCAACTAAACTAAGTGGTAAAATGTGACACAAAATGTACTCTACATTTCTTTTAGTGCTTATACTTGGACAGTTGGTCAACTCAATGAAATTTAGTAATTTGTATGACTGTGCTTTTAAGTGCATAGGGCAACCAACAGGGACAAATCGTAAAAGTATTTTGATTGGGCCGATATTAGTTGCTGATTTATCAACTGAAAAGAGACGAAGGTACGAGGTATATGGTAAATAGCTGATATACATATCATATCTTCTAGGTGAAAATTTTCCATTTTTAAAGAGAAAATATTTTGTCTACACTAAATATGAGTAAATAATAAACCAGCGAAAGATATCTTAACTATTTAAAAATCAATATGAACAAATGACACATTTGTTTTCTTAGGGAAGCAAAGGGTAAACGAAGGGAAATAATATGAAATGCAACAAAACGCTATTTTATCGACAATCAATAACTAATTGACAAATGTATATATTCATTATATTGTCATTATAAAAAGCAAATAAACATTTTAAAACAAAATAAGAATAAAACACATTCCCTTCCTCCCACCAAAGGATTTTCATATCTGAAGATATGCGTTAAGGAAATACATGGTAAAACTGGCAAGACCTTTTAAACATACCTTAAATTGCTTTGTTGTAACACATAGCTTGAAAATAGACAGACAAATACAACATTAAATGCACATTTCGTTCGGTAAAGCAAGTCTTTTAGAGTTCAAATATAAAACAACACAATTTTATAAAATTGTAAGATCACATTGGCTTTCCATACTTTATTTACATATTTTCAAATATTGTAAGATTAGATAATGCATTATTATGGCCGAAGTGAAGCAAACATAATTCAACAAATATAATTCACAAATATATAAATATAAACAGTAAACATTTTGGCATCATATCAGTGGTAAGCATTTTGACATAACACATTTACAAAAAATCATACATATGGTAAACAACAAAATACAACCAATATATTGGCGCTACGAATGTGCGCAAATAAAGCGACACTCATACTTTGAGAGACGCATCAAGCAATGCAAATCACTTGCAAGTCCAAAAACTTCACCTCAAGCATTTTCAAATATTCACAACCTCGTATATACAACTTGTGGTAGTTTGAAATTATAGGTACAATAAAAACAAGCATACCTTTATAAATTGTAGTCTTCTCGGTTTGTATGTACAATCTCCGCTGTTTCTAAATTTTCTTACGAGTTTAACAGCTAGACTAAAACTTGTTTACTTACTTGAACTAACTGAGATTACATTTGCGAATAAAGGCGTGAGAGAAGAAATAGCAATGTGACGTCAAGTAAATACATATTGAGAAAGAATGTGATAAATATCATGCAGGGTATTCTAAGCTTATGCATCTGAGAGACAAAAGGAAGGAATATTTTACACCAATTCTGCCCAAGTGTTTAAAGACGAGAGAGAGGGAGAAAATCAAATTTAATGTTTTAAATATTGGCTGTAAGATGATCGTGTGTCAATTTTGCCTCATTTATAAACCTTAGTTATGAAAACATGCAAAAGATGAAGGATGATATCAATAAAAAAAGTCGAGAAAACAAAAGCACGAAGTAAAAGCTGAAAGGCTTAGTTAGATTAAAGAGGTAGCGTTTACTTAGCCTATTCCTTTAGAATGTTCTTTCATAGTTCGTCCGAATTATTTTGATAAAACGTTTCATATGTCTTTGAGTTAAGTTTAGAAAAAGTTACCAAGAGATTATTATGTTATATATCGTTTAGCAATATTAACTTCTGATACTGGAGCTCGCGTTTTAAAGAGTTTTAATGATAAGAGAGAAGTTATATCAGGAGTTTTTGAGACTTTGAGAAAAAAAGGATCTGATTTGAAGCATATTATTTTTGCAGAAAAAAAAACATCTACGAATATAAACTTGTAATTGGAAACTTTTTTTTATTTCTAAGACAAGAACTTATGATAGTTACAAAATTTAAAACGTACATAAGCATTTTTAGAATTCCAAAATATTAAAAAACAGTATCTAGAATAATTTATTTACACTCAGAAATAGACGAAATGATAGCGCAAGAAAAGGTGACTATTTATATATTTCAAAAAGTAAAATAAGAAAAGATTGCTTCCCCTTCTATCCTTAGCAGCTTTTACTTTGAAGACCTGAACTTTAGCGTCTGAAAGTGTGAATGCTCCCAAAATATTAGTATATCATTCAATTGTTTGTATATATCATGATGCCCGGCAATATTCATGATGCCCGGCAATATTCATGATGCCCGGCAATATTCATGATGCCCGGTAACATTCATGATGCCCGGGAATATTCATGATGCCCGGCAATATTCATGATGCCCGGCAATATTCATGATGCCCGGCAATATTCATGATGCCCGGCAATATTCATGATGCCCGGGGATATTCATGATGCCCGGCAATATTCATGATGCCCGGCAATATTCATGATGCCCGGCATTATTTATGATGTCCGGCAATATTCATGATGCCCGGCAATATTCATGATGCCCGGGAATAGTCATGATGCCCGGGGATATTCATGATGCCCGGCAATATTCATGATGCCCGGGGATATTCATGATGCCCGGCAATATTCATGATGCCCGGCAATATTCATGATGCCCGGGAATATTCATGACGCCCGGCAATATTCATGATGCCCGGCAATATCCATGATGCCCGTCAGTATTCATACACTTGGTTCAAGAATTCAACTTTTATATACACTCTCTGACACCAAATTTCTATTAGAGTAAGCAGCTAAAATAAACACAATTTGCAGAGGGATAGGTTTTATATCTTGCAAACCATTTCAACAACAACTATATTAAAATTTGATAGGCATACATACAATTTTTGCATGTTATTACAGTAAAGACCTGTAACTTTGAAGCTCCATCATAATTTGCGCACAAATGTTGAATTACATTTATGTAAGATTTACTAAACCCATTGACGCAAGCGGCTGTTCTGTTGTAATGTTAATTTCGAACGAATGTTATAAGTTTATGATATCTAAAGATAAATGACAAATTTATGAAAATACGAGCTGCAAGAATTCTTCACAGATATATATATATATGTATTTAACTATGAAATAGTGTGTTCGTATAGGACTTGTTGAAATGGTTCATATGTAAAATATTAACATATTAGTATGTGTTAATAAGTAGGTAAACATGCACATGTAAAGCAAAGCACATGCACATGCGTCATGCGTGCAAAGCAGTTTAAGGTATACAAAAAGGAAATTTAGATAGGGTATCAAAATACTTTCTGAATCAAACGGAATGCTCGAATGTTTTTTTAAATCAAATTTTTGTTTTTAATCATCAATAAATGTATCTCTTTTTACCTATATTTAAGTCAAACTGATCTTCCTAACTGAAATGCTTAAATGGGCCGCATCACGACAAAACCAACATAGTGCGTTTGCGACCATCACGGATCCAGATCAGCGGCTCAAATGTTATATTCGTTTTGAGTTAAATGTTTTGTGTTCTGAGAACGACTGAAATTCCTCAATCTGGTTTCCGAAAAACTTTTCAAATCCCTTTAACTTTTGTTTGAAAAACACCACACTAGGTAATGACATGCCATGAATTCGTTTCATCATTAATTAGTTGATTTTGGATGAATTCATTTCGAAGCATATTGCAGTATATACATTTGAGCATCATTCATTTTCAGAAAGTATAGATAAGACACTGTTGTTTCTATAACATGCTGTTGCCTAGTTATTTATATTTGTACAGCATATTGCCAATTTCAGCAAGCAATTATAACATCCTATTTACAATGTATTTTTCAAACAAGATCCAAGTACCTCAGAATGGTGTTATATTGTTGTATATATAATATTTAAACAGATATGCTTGCTAGTGAAAAATAATTAAAATATTTTTTTTTATTATCTATTTTTACTAAAATGTTCCTTCAAAGCCTAAGTGTTTAAATAACTGACATAAAAATGACAAAATATAAATATGACCAACACAATGGCAAGACATTAACACATTACCTTCTCTATTCAAAAAGAATATTTTAAACGATTTACTAGTATTTATATTTGTTCCAAATGTAAGTATGTTTTAGATACAAGATATCGTGACATGTGTGATTTACATAGCACTTCTTCAATACTATTATGCTGAATGTTAGGTAATGTTTTTCATGGCGAAGCCCATATTTATTATAAAATCATACTTTTTAAAATAGTACTCTTAAACAACATGATCACAAATATTCTTAAATCAATTACAATTTATGTCAAATATTATAAATGGCATTCAAATATTATAAAGGGCATCTATTTGCGGTCTCATTGTTAATATTATTATGACATAAATACAATCTCTTAAATCAGTCTGAATTTTTGAGTCTACATGGAATGACGATTTAAAATCTACATTTCTGGCAAAAATATAAAAATAGCAAATTAGTTCTATTTCTTATTCTTGAAAGACTAATAAATATGTTCAAAATCAGTTTTCTTTAATTCATAATTAAAAAAACAAAAGCACTGTTTCAACTATTAAGACATAGAAATTGTTTTGTTACATTGATATAAAATCCTCCGAAAATAATGTGATCATGTTCTCAAAGAAAATGTAAAACAAACATGGCTATTACCCTTTTTAAAGTCCTGTTAAAATCGTGTGAATGTCACCATGCATCATCTAATAGATGCTTTCGAAACCGACGGGTAAAATGTATGTGCAAATTACTAAGCATTATTCAAATATAGTACCATTACAATCGCATGTTTGTTCTTTTTTAGTTTTTTTCTTTTAAATTTAATCTATATTAACCAGTTACATTAATTTACTTCTTTGTCAGAAACCAAAAAATAAAACCTCAGATGGACTTGATATCTTTTTATTATCAAACGGCCTGAATTGCAAACCAACATCAAAAAATGTTTGCCCTTTGCTTCCACGAAGGCTCCTTCTTATTTCAATGACAAATATTTTTTATATACACATGTTTATATTTATCACTTTGGTCGTGCTATTCCTAATGATAAATCAATTAAGGAAACATATTTTTACTTTTACATTTGTTAATATTTTCCAATGGTCAATGGGCACATCTCTCTGTAGAACAACTATTTAAATGCACATCGTTACATTTAAAATTAATACAAATTGTTATTTATTTTTTAAGTTGGTAATATGGTGTTTTTGACTATTGGCCATTAAGGATAACTGCCATGTTTGTTTCTGTCAATTAAAACAATATAAAATGAGAATCCATTTCAAGGAATATGAAGCAAAACAATTTTAATTTCTACCGTTAGCTACATTAATAAAATTTCATATGGTACGATTCAGAACTATCATTTTTTTCTTTCTCAAGATGAATTTCTCATTGTTGTATATCGTATGTATGTTCTGTTAATAATTTTTATAAGAAAAAGAAACAAATGTATTTTTTTACGGACATATTTCCGTAACATTAAGATAATTTTGAATATTTTGTACATATTCCATTCAATTGGATTCTAAGAAAACATTTTTGTTCAATTTGGATAAAAATCGACTTACTTCCAGACGGACACAGATAGCCAGGGTTTGTAGCGTTGCATTCTAAGCACGTTCCTTGATGAATATCACAATTGTTGTCAACACATTGGGATTTACACGGTCTTGTACATGTTTCCTCGTAAAACCCAGACTTGCACGTGTGTAAACATACCCCATTACTCTGTTGACACTGCGGACCTGTTAAAAAGACGAAATTAATTATTATGAACGCATTAAATCACCGTAGGGAACGTGTTACAGTATCGCGTTTTTCGGTTACAGTATAGAATTTTCAAGATGGAGGATTATTTATGGAAAGAGAGGTAGGCGATTTTTTATTCAGGTCCATACTACAAGTAGTTTAGTTTCTAAAAGATGTTTTTATGCTTTGCTTGTAAGGAACAGAATCCGGTATCTAGTCATATATTTCTTCAGACCCTGCACCGAAGATTTATCTTTATATTGTCTCATAAATGTGCAGATTTGACAGTTTGAAAATTTGAATCGAGAGACCAACGCATTTTTCTCCCATTCCGACATTATTTAAGCATGCCTTGATAAAGTAAATCTACAAAACGTTAGTCCTTTGTGTTTAGAAACGTTTATAAAAGTAAATGACCAGTTGAACCTATTTTCCTGTTGGTAAAATGCGTTTGAAAAAATAAACAATGTTACAGTATAGAGCGAGGTTAGTTTTGAAGGGTTACAGCATAGACCTAGCGACTTTGATCCAATTTTGTTACAGTTTATACCCAGATTTCGGTTACAGTTTAGATACTTGCCAAATTTCAAACAAAGTTGGTGTATCCATTATTTTTATGAAATAACTCATACCTTTCTATTTAATACATTCTTGAAAGGTTGTATAACTTTTTTTCTTCAGCAGAAAAGTTATACTTTGCTATTTTTCATCCTTTAAGTTTCAGATTGAGATTTTGCAGAATAAGTAATGTCCTAAGTAAGACAACAACAGTAACTTTTATCGAATTGTATTGAGAGAAGAAAGATTATTGCTTGATTTCATTACACATTATAATAATGCCTATTTGTAATAAAATAGAGAAAAATTAATCCTAAATAGAAGTCCAACACGGAAAGCATGAAAATGTTGCAGGCTGAGTTTGATTAAACCTGTTCCTGGACGGTAGTGATAACTGCAAGCTACCATCCACGCCTCCTAGCACCGGCTTCAGCAGAATTCACATTAAACATGAACTGGTACACTTTAGATTTTTTAACATCTGTGGATATGTTCATATGGCGGTTATCATGGAACCTTCAATGTGACACGTTATTGCCATTCTATGAAAAGCGACATATTAACCCCAGATTAAAAATTGCATGTGCCCTAAACGAGAATACAATATGTGAAACTAAAAAAAATGAAATTTTGAGAGGGGATCGGAGGTTATGAAGCCTGCATACCATAGATAAGCTGTCAAAAGACACATAAAACAAGCAGGCAATACCCTAAGAATGATTAAACAGTATTTAAGTGAGCAATACTGCAACCTTGTATCATAGTTTGGGGACCTTTCTGTTGAAAATGTGTCCGAGTTAAATCGTATACATGCACTACGCGTTTACTGGAGTGCAGGTATTAGTTACCCGCTCTACAGAGCATGCCCATTGATTGGCTCATTTTTGCTGGGGTTTACTTATTGTGACGGCAGAGAAAGGGAAAGCGACAGAAACTTTATATTTAGATGCTCGTTCATTGGTTACTTTTCTCCGGGGTTTCATATTGTGACAACAGGGAACGTGTTTTTATGTTTGACTATAATGCAAAAAAGAAAGAACATTAAAACAATCGGCAATCTGATTTGTTCTCGGGGGCTGTGCCCCCCTCGTATAAATCAGATAGCCTCGTGTTTCAATGCTCTTTCTATTACTTAATTACTTAAATCTTATTTTAGGTTGCAATTTCCATCTACCATATTGTATCTTATTAGTATTTAAAAGGGTTTGTTACGTTTGGCTTTCTTGGATTTTAAGTTTCAACGACACTGAGGTCATGTGAAAACATTCCTGCTTTAGTGTACAGAAAGACCCCAGATACCCTTTGTGAAACATTTCAGACACGGGCACCTGACTAGAACCACCGACCTTCTGTAAATTAGCTTGATAGATTCCTTACATACAAAGAATCCAAAGTCATGATTGGATTTCAACTACAGCAGTAATGGAAAGATGATTCATTTGAAGTCGACGGCCTTATCCCGACTTTGCCACTATTATGTACCTCCATCAGGCTCACTAGAGAAGATATTGTAATTGTCTGACCTTAATTTGTACTCTATAACTTTAAATTTTTTTTTTTTCAGAAACATGAAAACTGCTATACAGGATGTCTGAAATTAAAAGAAAACGACTTTTAATGTAATAATGACAAAATAATCGTTACTTCAACAAAGAAGCATTTGAAATGACGCCATGATCATGATTTGATTTGATTTGATTTGAATGCTTTTGGTTCGAGATGAGAAGGGTCTTTAAGCATTGCTTTTTTTCGAAATCTTTGTTTTTGGTTTTCGAATTCCCGATTGCAACCGAAACCATTTGAAAATTAAATTGGTAGAAAGTCATGTAAATTTCATCACATTTAGTCAAGTAGTTACTGAGCGGATGAGATTGCACACATTTTTGTACGACAGACGGACGAATAACCATCGGGCCAATAAGCTCACAGAGATTTAAAAATCTATGTAACATTTAACATTTATACATTTTACCTAGTATATATAGTATATATAAAAAATATCAAAGTCTAAACTGTGACCGAAATCTGGGTATAAACTGTAACAAAATCGGATAAAAATCGCTTGGTCTATGCTGTAACCCTGCACAAATCACCTCGCTCTATACTGTAACATTGTTTATTTTTTCAAACGCATTTAACGAACAGGAAAATAGGTTCAACTGGTCATTTACTTTATAAACGTTTCCTAACATAAAGGACTAACGTTTTGCAGATTTACTTTTTCTAGGCATTCATAAATAATGTCGAAATTGGAGAAAAATGCGTTGGTCTCTCGATTCAAATTTTCAAACTGTCAAATCTGCATATTTATGAGACAATATAGCGATAAATCTGCGGTGCAGAATCTGAAGAAATATATGACTAGATACCGGATTATGTTCCTTACAAGCAAAGCACAAAAACTTCTTTTAGAAACTGAACTACTTGTAGTATGGATCGGAATAAAAATCACCTACCTGTCCTCCCAACAAATAATCCTCCATCTTGAAAATTCTATACTGTAACCGAAAAACGCGATACTGTAACACGTTCCCTACGGTGTAAATATTTAATATTAGCTTTGTCTTTTCGGATGGATCTTACATGACAAGCCAACCTAACTATGATACCACATTAATAAGAATTAAGACATGAGATAAGAGATACATGCAGATATTTCAGTATATACTACACGATGACACAAATGTAAGTTGTAGCTTTTAAAGAAAGTTATCCAAAGTCAACTGATATTATTTTCTTTTCCTCCAAGAATGAAGGTATATAATATTTTGTAAGCTATTTGACTTTATCTTATTATAGAAGCTACACCTCTGGGAAATATATTGTTATAACTGTCAAACAGTTATTTTAGATTAAAAAAAAGAAACAAAAAGAAAAAAAACTAACCTGATTCAGTGCCTTGCGAACTAGCTGCGCAGTTTATGCTGCAACCTTGATTACAGAACTGGCCCCATTTTCCATCTATACAGCCGTGTGTACAATTTCCGTAATTGAAATGACAGGATGCTTCATTATTATCAGGATCATTTGCGCAATTTGCAGGACAGGTAAAGTTACAATTCGAACCATGGAATCCAGGATCACACATAGGGTCACGACAGTCACCTGAAAAGAGTAAAGAGGGAAGCATCATGTAACAGTTTCTGGTCATGAAATTTGGATAACAGTTATTGGTCATAAAATTCACAACACCACGCATTTTTCAGCTTATCTACAACAGAAACGTAGCGTTGTCAAAATGAGTGAAATCAAGTGCAAACAGTGTATCATGATATTATTGTTCTTACTCATTTTCTAGCTGAATCACTTAATTACGAGAAACATTTAGATGTAATTAATTTGGCTTCAGTAACAAGATCATCATGATACATTTATATCAATTGTTTGCGCTAATTCAATGTGAAATCCTCATAAAATTTGTCATAAAATAAGATCTTTCGTATTCTTTCTGACACATAGAATGTTCATATATCTTTTTCTGGTGGGCATTAATAAACATTGATATTACAAATATGATGTATGCCGATGTCGTTTCCTCGACTTAACAGGTGAATGAAGTTTTTCTATATGTATTATTACAGAACCGAATAACCACTGATCTACCGTAAGCTAGCCAAACTTCACAAAAAGAATACAAAACCGCTAGGGAGCGAGGTATTTAATGGCGTAACATGTATCCGTGAATTTACTTAATATTCAGGTCAATAATGGATGTTATTGGTAGGTTTTATCTTATAATTCGAACATACTAAGTGTTTAATTTATACGAAATATGGTAAACTTTCATAAACATTTTAAATATTTTTTTCTTATTTGTCAAGATATCTTATGGTGTACCACTAATCAAGACCCTTGCAAAATGATTTCGTGTAACAGCAAAATTAGACTGGATTCCTTTGGCTCCAGGACAAGTTGACTACATAGAATTTAAAGTGAATTCTTTATCAGCAGTAAAATGCACCGAAATATTAACAATTTAAAAATGACTACCTGTTGATCTGTACTCAATGCCTTTTATCAGCCATTTTTTATATTTTTTCTGTCTTTTTTTTAAAATATAATTGATGATTATTTTGATTACTCTCTTCTTTGTGTGTAACATTTTGATGACTTAAACTCTTTAACAGTGTTTTAAACAAAGAGAAGGATATTGATTAAATATATATTGATATAATATTGATATAATATATTGATATTTATCAGAAATACTGTGATAGACAATGCAAGGTATGGTCCTCTTTGTGTGCCTAATTTTTAGCTTTGTGTCAGGATTTCAAGCTCAAAATGGAGGCTCAAGAACATCAATTCCTCAATCAAATGATCAAGTTATTCAAATTTTGTTTAATTTGATTCTGAACGAGGAGACAGCTAGGCTTCACCTTCAGAACCTTGTAACAACCCTGAATAACAAAATTGACATGCTGGAAATCACACAGAGTAAGTTTCAGAAAAAATCGGAGGCTACATTAAATCAAACAGCGAATGACATATCAACGAGACTGGACGCCATGAACGCTCGATTTTTTAAACTGGAGCAGATCAAGGCAACCGTTTCTAGGCAACTGACAAAAGAGAAAAACAACATAGTACACCTTGATCAAATGTATGCTGCTTTAGAGAAACATGTCATGACAGACTTAAATCCATCCGATTTGCGTGAAATCAAAACTAGCAAGCATGGAAAACCTTTATACAGGTACAGTTAACAATTTAGCGGTTGTGTGCTCAAGACTAGGTAACCTTTCCACACAATTTGATAGAACTATGAGTGAAGCCAACGAAACAAAGTTGACACATGGATTGAAAAGCACTTATTTGCATGACAAAGTAGACAAACTGGAAACAAGACTCTTGAATATAACACATCAATTTTCCGGAATGCAAATTGACTCAAGATTAACCGGCCTTACAACGATGCAAGAAAAACTTAATGCTGTCGAATTACATCTGCAAAACATAACAAAATATACTAATGTCACTCATCTAAAAAGTGTGTCAAATGAACTAACTTACATGAGGAAAGTCCTTAAAAATTGGACGGTGAAAGGATTGGGAAAATCTCGTAAGTAAAATGTTATTTTTATAAATCATTAAACAATAATATAGATAAGCTATAAATTTTATAAAATGTTCATTTAATAAGTTGCATAAATATTTCATTCAATAAACAAAATGGTAGCTTGGTGTATTACTAGGACAGTTATGCGACTAATTAAGTGACTAATATATATAAGATTTTTTAATCATTATTTAGGGAACATAAATGCACTCCATATAACGTCATTTAAAATATCAAAATATGCACAATAAGATAATGCAACTAAAAAGGTGTAAAAAATTACTTCTGTTCAATTATTGTTTTTATTTAACTTTTTTTTTCAGACGTTTCCGTCGGATTTTCAGTTTCATCACCAGACACGTCATCTGGCTTTCCCCTTAAATTCAGGAACGTAATATACAGTACAGGGAACGAATATAATAAATCATCAGGAATATTTACTTGTAAACATCCAGGAGTCTATTTCTTCACAGCAAATGTGCTAAGAAGTCCTGGTATTTATGTAAACGAGTGCTCCATTAGACTCAACGGTATTAGTATGTTACTAGTGACTAATGTCACTCGCCTACGAGAAGGATATCAGTCAGGATCTGGGTCATTTATTTGTCATTTAATTTCAGGAGATACAGTCTCTTTATCTAGCTGTCCTGGAGTGAACTACATCTACTCGTATTCTAGTTTTACCGGATTCCGTATTTCATTTTAAATAACCACCCTCCATCTGTTAATCAATATCTACCGGATTCCGTGTTTTATATTAATTAACCAGTCTACATCTGATACTCAACATCAACCGAATTCCGTATTTAATATTAATTCATCAGACTCAACATGTCTATTTACATTAACTGGATTTCGTATTTCAAATGATTCGGCCACTCTCAACATTTATATCATCATCAACGGATTTCGCATTTTAGATAAATTAATCAGTCTCCACATATCAATTAATATCAACCGAATTTCGTATTTTATAGTAATAAACCAGTCTCCATCTGTCAATCAACATCAACCGGATTATTTTTTATGATATTAAATTGATCAGTCTCGATCCTTGTCAATCAACATCCGTTGATCAACTCATCAGATAAAGATTGTTAACATATCATTTGGCAACCTTCATTAGTCATCTATAGTTATTTTGTGTAACAACACTTCGATCAGATTCTTTCTGAACCAGGACAAGTTGACTACAATCATAATCTATTTTTTATCATTTTTTATAAGCTATAGTTTAAATATGACAACGCGTTCTACATACCTTTGTTGACGAATTTATATCAGACTTAGTCGTTTTTTTATATGGATACGAGGTTTTAATCTAGATATTTTTTATAGCACAAAGTCGATCATTTTTAAAGTTTTTTTTTCAATATAGAGAAGGACATTGTCATACGTGTTCGTATATTGATATTAAAAATATAAGAAAAAAAAACGAGAAAAAAATCCATATAAAATGAAATGTGTGGTACTTTTTGTGTGTCTATTTCTTGGACTTGTGTCAGGATTTCTAGTTGAAAATGGAGGCCCAGCAGCAACATCAAATCCTCCTCAATCGAATGATCAATTTATTCAAAATATGTTTAACTTGATTCTTAACGAGCAAACTTCAAGACTTCAGCTACAGAGTCTGGTTACAACCCTAAGCAACAAAATAAACCAGCTGGAAAGCGCAAATGGTCAGATTCAGAAAGACACGGAAGCAAAAATAAATCAAACAGCGAACGATATGACAACCAAACTGAACGCTCTGAGCACTCGATTAGTTAAAATGGAGCAGATAAACGCAGACGTTTCTAAACAACTGGTAAAAGAGAAAAACAACCGAGAACATCTTGAACAACTGTACACTGATTTAGAGACACGCGTTCAGAATTTGACAGCGGATAACAAGACAGAGATAAACACATCCGAATTAAAGGATGTTGAATCAAAAGTGGCCAGCTTGGAAAACATGTACACAAGTACGGTTTACAATCTTTCTGGCTTGACCTCAAGACTAGATGACCTTACAGCACAATTTGTAAATACAGTCGGTGACACTAACTCAAATCAGACAGGAAATAGCACAAATTTGCTTGTCAAAGTAAATCAAATGGAAACAAGGCTCGGTGATTTGAATCATCAATATGAAGAGTTGAAAAATGACTCACGCATTTCCGACCTTATGATACTGGAAGACAAACTTATTACTATGGAAGCAAACCTGCAAAACCTAACAATAGATACTAACTACACACATCTCCAGATTGTGTCAGATGATGTTACCAACATGAAGAAAGTCTTGAAAAACTTGACGGTGAACGAATTTAACCAATCTCGTAAGTGCCGTTTATACAAACTCTAACGTTAACAACAATATTAATAAATTTGCTCTAAATATAACAAGATATTTACTAATCAGTTATATACATTAATATCCCAATTCACCAAATACTTCATTCAACATAGCTAGTAACCAGATGTATTATCAGCAAGGTTTTGCAACCATTCGAAGCATAAAAATCGTATTTCGATGTTTTTAAGGCTGACAGAATTTAATTTGGAACATAAAGGCAGGTTTTAACATTTTTTGCCAAACACAATGAAACGTATACGCAAGTTAAGAAAATCGTTTCCAAATGATTACTTGTCAACTGCAATAATTTCGACAGTATCTTCTTTATTTCAGACATGTCGGTCGGTTTTTCTGTGTTCAACCCCGACACGTCATCTGCCTCATTACCGTACTACCCCCTAAAGTTCAAGAACGTGACGTACAATTCCGGAGACGGCTATAGCCTGAGGTCGGGGATATTTATTTGTAAATATCCAGGACTGTATTTCTTCATGGCAAATATTTTTAGATCACCAGGTGCCACCGAGAGCTTCTGCTATTTAACCGTTAACGCACGTGATACGCTACGGATAACTAGTGGTGTTGAACTGGAGGACGGCTATTTGCCGGGGTCAGGATCAATTGTACATCATCTAAAAAAGGGAGACACAGTGTACCTATCAGGTTGTGGTAACGTCACCCACATGTACGAGTATTCTAGTTATACTGGCTTTCGTATTTCAAATTAATTTGATTATCACTTATGTTAAGTTATTTAGCCTTCAGACATAATATCACGTGACATGGAACTCAAGATTAGCGCGTCCAATCAGGCGCACATACCGCCATGTTGTCACGTGTATTTCATTTAATAATATAATTTGGTTGATAGAAATTTAGTATTTGTATTTCATTGACTTTAATAAGTTAAAAAACAGTCCCTGTATTTCAGCAATGTTTTCAACTGTAACCGAGCTTGATTTTGAATTATTTACCCTTGAGCTTGATTTTCTAAAGGTCATTACAAAGCCAGATAATAAGTCTGAAAAAGACAACATTTTACTATTGGGTAATTGTGCATGTTAATTCTTTACTAACTTACCTTAACTGTGAATTATCTGCCCTTGAATAGGCAAATTAATGGGGTATGTTTTCATAAACGAGTTTGATGGCTCTTAAAATGTTTCAGGTATCAAATTTTAGGATCATGTAGAGTTGAAATAAATTCTTCTCTTATGTTTTCATTCTGCTTACATTTTTGTTGAAAGCCGATTAAGGTTTTCGTTTGTTAAAGTAATACTTCCAACATTGCATTGAAAAAAATCTAATCGTTCAGACTATTTCACCTATAGTCGTATCTTTCCGAAGATCAATTATCATCCAGAGCTACCCTTGAAATGAAAACCTTCAGACAGTTGAACGCTTTTGGAAAAACAGTATATTTTGATACGGAACATGACGGAAAGTGACGATGTTTGCCGACTTTGCACAAGCAAGCTTGTGGTGGACCATGATAGCCTCATAAAAACCTACTTGCATACATTTTCCACTCTCAGAAGGATTAATTTTTTTTTTGTGGGGGTGGGGGGTCAATAGATTGACTGACCTGTATCTCGATTACAGACATTCTTCAAGCAGTTCGGACATGATCCGCTACAGTCGTCTTTGTAATATCCAGCCAAGCATCCAAAATTACAGCTTCCTTTGTCCAGAGAGCAGCTTCTCTCTCCGTTAAAAGTCACGCAGTTTGTGTTACAGGTGTTTTGACAAGTGTTGCCCCAGTAACCAGGTTTACACACGGTGCACCTTTATTGACAAAAAGAAAACATATCGTAAACACCACGATACAATTGAAGAAAAAAATGTAATTTTTCTAAAATATTTTTGCCAGTATATGACTTATTATACTTTCAGTGAATTATTTAGCCACCACGTGCTGTGATATTCCCTATGTAAATGGGAAGTATAAACTCTATTTGCAGATCGCATAATTTTGAATTTCTGAATTACACCGAACCATATCGCTCATTTTAGTTCTGTAAGGGACGTAACTCATTTGTGCATTTTGCATCCAGAATTTTAAATCTCTATCTTCTATCAGATCTTTTTGTTCAATTTAGTTCTGTACGGGAAGTGATGGTTTTGAGCAGTTTGCTCAGGCCATACATAATTTATAATTCTGAATAACACCTTTCGTAATATCCTCTCCTCTGTAGTTTTGTTCCGTAAGGGAGGTAACCGCTGTGTGCAGTTCGCATGAGCAACGCAGAATCATACATAAGACTTCTCATAGTTACCGCCCCTTTATTTTTTTGTTCAATAAGGGAAGTAAACGTTGAAGGCCATACAGAAGTTTTGATTACAAACTAATATTTACGTTCAATTTAAAATTTTGGGTATAACCGGAAAACTCACGTGAATTGGTATCGGTCACACTCGGCACAGTTCCCTAAGCCAACAGCTGCGTCACAGGCGACGTCACACTTGTTGCCACGGTAACCAGGTTCACAGTCTCCCAAACATGTACCTGCACATAAAATGTGATAAATCACAGACACCTTAAAAAGTGTAAACTTGTAAAATGGTGACATCGAACTAAAATATAGACGCCAACGTCGTTAAAATTCGGCACATTTCGTCTCTTTAGGTGATCAAATGAGCGGCGAAACAAACAGAAATGGTCTCATTTTCAAGTTCGGAAAATTACGGAAATGACCGAATTTTAACGAGCTGTAAATAAAAGGGATTGCAAGCATCCATAAGAAAAGCAACGAAGTCATTAAAAGTACATGCCATTTAAAATAATAAAAAATCGGTGCAATCTAATTACCTTTTAAGAAGCACTACAAAGTAACTTATATTTATTGTAAGTTATATTTAGGGGAGACGTCTCCCCGGATACATGACAAATATCAGGTAAGATTTATTTATGTTGTTAAAATTACCACAAACAGTTTTGTCATTTTTTTTGTTTCGGGGCTTCTCTACGCAATCATGTTATACTCAGTTGTGTACTATTTTATGTTGTTGTTGTCGCTGATAATTTAATTTCTTTCACTTACCGTCTTGTGAACAGATTTCACTGTTACCAGTGGAGCCGCAGTTTGAATTACATTCACCGCAGTATGGACCGTAGTAGCCGGCCTCACAATCTAGGCACGTGAGATTCTGTCTAGGTATATCATATGTACACTGATCGCATCTTGAAATAAATGAAATAAAAAACCGGTTAGAGACCAATCAAGACGTGTTATATCGTCTGCTTTTATATCAAATATTGGTTCCCCTTTTTTCTGCATCTTTGTTTTCTTGATGTATAATATCACCTGGTTTGTTTTCAATAAAAGCAATCAGTTATAAAAGTTTATTTCTTTATATTTTCAAATTTTAAAAATAAAAGAAAACGTCATGACGTCATAACTCTTTTTAAAGTTTAACAATATATTGTGACGTCATTCTGAATAGGCCCACATGATTATACTGTGTTGTCTTGTTGTTGTTGTTGTTTTTTTTTTTTTTTGTTTTTTTTTTTTTCATGATTATTTCGTTCGTTGTCAACCTAAACATCAAAATATACAATGGGTATCTAAAACAACACATTATAGATTTAAAACAATCGTTGCCTAATACCCGTCAAACGATCCGCATATAATTTAACTAAAAATGTTATTCTTTTTTTATTATTTTTTTATTTTTATTTTTATTTTAGAAAAAACTTCATTCTGCAGTCGGCAGCAGAATTTACCCATGCGACCAGTGCATACTAAGATTATCCGCACACCAGTGCCGTCCTCTTTGTTGTTCGCTATTCAGTGAGTACATGTTTTGGAATTTTCATTAAACGGTTTAGTCCGGATTAAAATATTGGCAAGTCCATTTAATGTATTTAGCGTTGACTTCTCATTTTAACATTTGAATTATTTAGTTAATAGTTAGATTTAAGGGATTTCAAAATCAAAATATGAGAAAACAACTCATAAGTGTAGAGTCTACTCAGAATATGCAAAAATTCAAGCTAGCTTTGTTATGTGCTGGTGTCATATACACTTCAGTAAAAGTATATTGGCTAAAATAGATATTTTTTAACTTACCTTCTTTAAGAATAACACAATACGTTACATTTCAACTTACCTACTTAAATAACAAAATACGTTACATTTCAACTTACCTACTTAAATCACACAATACGTTACATTTCAAGCCATGCCATCCCTCAAGGCATCCAAGATTACATTCTCCTGAGACAGAATCGCACCTACACATAAAAAAGAAAACTAATGAAAGAAGGTACGATCTTAAAAAAGAAACACTAGTTACCTCCCTTGTGTTCGGCTGAGAAGAATATGTATTGCATTCCATTTAGTGATTAAAATAATGTGAAATGAATCTGATTTTAATTTGATCCACTATAAGCACAACTACTACAATAGCTTAAAAATTCACCATCCCCCTTAACCACTACCAACCTCCCTTTATTCCCTGACCAAAATTTTACAGAAAACATAAAAAGAATAGGTTTGCTAAAAACTTATTGTCTGTCCTTTGGTACACCAATTATTAAGGTCTTCCGTGGTCTAGTGGTTTATTAAGATCGTTGACTTTTGCTACACACACAGCTGTTGATTCCAATCCCGCCAGGGACTATGTATTCTTTCATGTGAGGAAGCATCCAGCTAGCTTACGCATCGTCGATGGTTCTACTCAGGTGCCCGCTGGTACGGAGGGGTAAATAATGTCTTTCTGCACCTATCAAGCTGGAAAGTCGCCATATGACAATCATAGTGTTGGTGCGACATAACATTAAATAATACTTAAACTATATTATGATAATTGTATGTATAAATACAGGCTATCCGTTCACTGTACATCCAGCCTAACTACAATGTATAATAAGACTCGAACCTAGCTGAACCGTCGCTGGGAGGTTTACAGTTGTTACCACATGTGTCACATCCGTCGTTGTAAAGGAAATAGGACGACTTACACGAGGTGCACACTTGCCCTGAAAAAATGAAACAGATTGTTCTAACATTTAATATTCGTCTGTTTATGAGACGGTTTGACTGAGTCTGTTAATAAGACGGTTTGACTGAGTCTGTTCATGAGACAGTTTTGACTGAGTCTGTTCATGAGACGGTTTGACCGAGTTTGTTCATGAGACGGTTTTGACTGAGTGTGTTCATGAGACGGTTTGACCGAATTTACATATCAAATACATGACCGGAAACTATGAAAGTGGACATATTCTATACTACCAACACCTATAAAAAGTGAGAACAGTATTGTAGGGAGCATTTGGTTTAACAGATTGTATCATACTAAGATATTTACCGTTACAGCTGTCACAACCCATCGGACAGCATTGCTGTTTATTCGTCGTCGGGTAGAAGTCAGTCGCACATGTTATACAATGAACCGGAAGACTTTTGTCGTCTTCCAGATGTTTACAATCTTCGCATCTCTGTAAGAAACAAAAATATAAAAAGATACAATTCCATAACCACACTTAGGTGTTATTACATTAGGTTTGTTGTTGTTTTTAACGTTTATTCTCGTATTGTTTGTTTGTTAATTTGTTGTTTATTTTGGGGGAAAAGTAGGGGCAGAGTGGGTAAAGGTTGGTGAAGGGAAGGGCAGGGCTACAGATAACATTTTGTGTATATTGGGTAATTACCCCTTGTTTTGTTATCTACAATGTATTGGGTTTTTTCTATTTCTGTATTTTTGACCCTACCCTCTCTAACTTGGGTTATAAAGCACAAGTCCATGTATTTTACCCAAAATTTCTGACCTTCATTGTAGACTGCTGTAGGTTTTATATGGTAATAAAGAAACTACTTACTACAATGCTTTATGGTTTATTGGCCTTAAGAGATTTCCAAGCTGCCTGGTATAATTTAAAGGTTAAAACAGTCTGAAACAGTATGATACGTTAAGTATAATTTACGTCATTACTCACCAGTTCAAATGTAGTTTGCATAAATAAGAAATTATTTACTTTTTCTTACCCTTAGTTATTATTTCTATTGTTTTTTGTTTGTTTTTTGACATTTTAATTGGGTAATAACGCAAATACGCATGTTATCTGCAGCCCTGGAAGGGAGTGTTTGCAGTGACCTTATTAAAACTGAAAATATAAAATATGTTCTAAAACATATTGATTTTGGATGTACATGTACATAACTTTAAATCTAACTTGTCCTTAATAAACCATTTTAAATTCTATTTTATTTTATCTTGTTTTAGTTTGGTGAACATTACTGTCAGTGCAATATATTTCGACTTGCCTGCTTACTGACAGAAATGGGTAAAAAGACCCATTTTACTCCTAATATTTTAGCAATAATCTTACCTCTATGACGTTCTTACAATCGACACATGTGTCACCAATGAACCCGGACCTACACCCGTATGTGCACTTCCCAGTGCTTGTGTTGCATAAATGGAATGAATTTTGGTCGAGACTACATCCTGTATCAAATTAAAACAAGAAGTCATTTAAAATAGCTAAATACTGGAAGCAAGTCTAACACAACTTGTTAAAAAATATCGATCACCATTTTTACACATGTACAGTAGATCTGCGAAATACCAGGAGCCGCAGTGTAAATATTATGGTTGCCCCGGCTTAGCACCGTTAATTTCTTCTCTTTTGCCAATTTGAACATATTTTTAGTCCCATCTCGGTTATCGGTCCACCTAAATTGATTTTCCTGTTCCGCTTGAAACGTTTCCCAGTTTGCAATTTTAGTAGATTTATGTCAATTTTATGATTGCAACTACGTTTCGGTATATCACTAGTTATACTTGCATTTGTGGCCATGCCTGCTCATTATTTCCTGGAAAAGAATACCCATAAATTAAGAAATAGATGCACTGGTTCCCTGTGTTCACTTTTTAATACATATTGAGTCAGTCGTTTGACACGGGAACCATACCAGGAAACGGAAGTTCGACCATGTTTTTTAAATGACTGGTTCTCGATCTACTAGAAAATCTTATTCATTAAAGTCCAAAAAACGGTATATTTGAAAACCATCTTACCTCTAGAACAACATCCGGTCGCACCCTCGCTCTGAGCATAGCCTTCCTCACACGTCAAACATTGTAAACCACCACCCCCGGTATTTGTGTTGCAATTTTCGCAGTGCAGCAAAGAATCGCATTCTGAAATTAATATGATTAATATGTATCTATTTTTTATGTATTTACTTTTCTAAAACAAGTGCTTACAGAAATACTGTGTTTTGTATTCGACATTGTTACTTTGTCAGTGATTGTCTGTTCCTAAACTTGGCGCAAACCAACAACTCTGAATTTTACGGACTGAATGATATTTGAGAATTACCTTGCAATTTTTACTCTGTCTGTTTGGTTAGGCAACGTGAGATAGTTTATATTGCGCCGAAACAGGAAAAATAATTCATGCTAACATCGGGTATTACAAACTTTAAGCAACATATGGGTCAAAACCATATCACCTGCTAGAGCTAGGAGATGCATAGACTCGAATAATACAAACCCATTTAGTTGCCTCTTACAATCACACAGTGATAAAACGGAAGCTGCAATTTGATAGAACAACCCCTACAGACAATCCCTAGGTAACCAGGGGAACTTATAACAGAGTATAAGCTACGGCTAAAAAAGCTTGTCTCGCAATCTATAGATATCGTTGGTGAGAGCCCTATTACAGTCACACGCCAGGTTTCCTATTATGACAACAGTGCTTGGTAATTTCAAGAAAGCTGGTTTCATTAGTGATTCAAGAAAGCTAAAAGGTGTGGGAAGTTTTCATAATGGAGTGAAAATAAATTAAGTTTCAACTAAAATATCTTAATTTTATTGTTCATTTTCAAGTTCCAGATTCATTATGTGGTAATTGTTAAAGGGACTCCCCTGAGTTTTTATGATATGACAGTACTTGAAATATTTTTTCGGGATAAATGTTTCATTTGATGTAGGTCTAGACCAATAACCTGTGTGCAAAATGTTAGATCATTTGCTCGCTCCTTTTTTAATTAAAGTCTTTCAAGTTGTGAAAAATGACACAAACGTAAAATACCTTGCAACGCTTTTCTCAAAAATTGGGCTAGGAATTCACAAAAATACGATTTTCAGTTTATTTCAAAGTATATATCTTTATTATATCCTGAGTGTCCAAGCTGACATATCTAAAAAAATCAAATTTTGTATTTTCATGTTTTTGGACCTCAGTGGGGGTCCTTTAAACGTATATGCTTTGAGTGCTTATTTGGATCTCTATTTCCGAAGATCAAATATCTCATTTGTAAAAATATACCTGTAAACCAGTTATTCGAGATTTTTTTTTTCAAATTGATTATTAACAAATTAGTTAAACAATAGATTTGCTGACTGACTGGATTTATTGAGCTATTGATATCAAATGACAAATAGACTAAAGAGCCACTACTAAGTATTGTATTAAACTATTCATTATACAATTTGATAGCTCTGACATTGCAATTAGATATTGAGCCATGTCATGACAAAACCAAATAGCGGTTTTGCAACCAGCATGGATCCAGACCAGCCTGCGCTTACAAACCCCTTTACAAGTTGAGAAACTGATAGCGCGCAGCATGGATCCTGATCAGACTGCGCGGATGCGCAGGCTTGTCTGGATCCATGCTGGTCGCAAACCCATTATGTTGGTTTTGTCATGACATGGATTAATTATGCTCTGCCCATTTACTAAGACATGCGTGTATTTCCATAAAGTTCACTTAATTCAATACCAAGAAACAATGTTCTCTAAAAAATAAGTTTTGCCCTTTCCACGAATATTCTGTTTTCTGTCTTCTTTTCTTCTGTAATCTTCAAAGTTAATTGTTTAGTTTGCCAAGTAAAGTATTCGTGAATTTGCTATTATTTGGACTTTCTATTTAAGAAGCTTATTATTATGTTCTCATAGTTAATTAAATAAATGTGAGATGTAACTGGTACAACACTCGGTTTCGTATATTCGAATCCCAGGCGTGACACATCCGTATTTTACAGTGCATTTCGTGAAAAAGAAACTAAATCGAGTTTTACTGTTATCACAAGTCACAAGCATGTTCTTTTTTTCTGTCAAAATTTGATCAGTTCTGGGAGTTTTTGACTAAGTTTACTCCAAAATAAGTCCACCTTTATAAAGTATATTCATACAGTACATTATGTATATACTTGTTAAATCGAAAGAACAAAATGTGCATTATTGACTTTAATTCGGATTAGGTTATAATTATACAACAGTGTGCAAGTATAAATTGATAAAGGTCGTCAGACATATTTCCAATAATAATTAAATCGGTTAGTTTTTACATGCCTTTGGATGTCAATTATATATACAATCTTTATTCATCATCAAAGATTACACCCTTTGTATTCATTTACCTCCAGCAACCAGGTGATAGAACTACTTTCAATCCGTATTTTAGTCCGAAATTATTATGAATAATAGTCGAAATGTTCTGATTGGAAAAATATAAATGTTTCCGGAAGTTGGAGTTAAGTTAATAAACAGGGAATATAGACTGTTGTATAGTGGCTGATTTGGTACGCTTTTGTGTGTCTAGTTGGCGCTAGCGATAACACGACAAAGCGCCAAACGGCGCGTTGTCGGGGTCGCTTGGCTTATTATCCAATCCTTCAATTTGAACCGAGCGACAATGTGACATTGCGACAACACGCCGCACGACAACGTGCCGATTGGCGTGCCGCGCTAGAGACAGGACGACAAGACTACAGCACGACAACGCGCAGTTTGGCGCTTTGTCGTGTTGTCACTAGCGCTAACACGACGCACAAAAGGGTACCAAATCAACCACCATACTGTTGCTAAAAATCGTTTTTTTTTAAATAGTGTCCTAAAATTATCCAATGCAAATGAAATGTCATACTAGTATATTCAAATATGCTAGTCTACTTACTAAGTTAGACTTTAGTTCATTTAATTGCCTTTTGTATATTTATATTGTAATTATTCCTAGGGGAGCCCTCGGCTGAGTGGTTTATGTCGTTGACTTCAAACAAATACCCCTCACATCTGTGGGTTTGAATCCCAACAGGGACATGTGAAGAAGGTATCCAATTTGCTTACAGAACGTCGATGGTTCTACTAACGTGCTCGTTCGTGACTAAAATAATACACGGAGGGGCATCTAAGGGCCATCCTTCATCAGTAAAGTCCCCATATAACCTATACTGTGTTAGTACGACGTATACCCCAACAAAAATGAAAAAGTAATTATTCCTGATGATGAAATGTATAAAAATAGACTTGGATTCACTATCACATCCGGTAGGAATGGAGACGGTTTTCACGATAATTGCACTCTTGATAAGCTCACCGTCTTCGTTTCTTTAGTGTCATTAAGGTTTAGTAAAGGACTAGCATTACGGTTGATAGATGTTCGAGTTAAACATATATTATGATATTTCAGTATAAGTCTTATGCAAGAGCTAAGAAACACAAATTATTGAAATATAAAGTATAAAATTGGAATTCATGTTAAAGATAAAACATTTTAACTTGAATTCGGGAGCATAGTTTGGCTAACATTTCAATCAAACAGAGCTAATATGCATGACTCAGCAAAGTATTTTGATTAACAGAATACTTGCTCTATTTCTATCTCAATCTGTTCATCTCTTGCAAGGTATTTGGGCGTGTTCGCTAATCTTTCCTTTAATAATGTCACTGTAAATAATTAAATCATCAAAGATAATGGGCGTTCATCTGTAAAGATCAACCTCTTTGAAAATCGAGCAGACCCAATGTGACTATAATATTTTC